TATAAAGTAACATCAGAAAATATAAATCAAGCTATACGTATGAATGGACCAATGGTTGTTAAACAACGTTTAATTAAATCTATGATAGCTGTTAAAGAAGATACATTAATATTACTTGGTAGTTATTTTTCAAAAGCAACAAATGTTCAACAAATTCTTGATCAATTTTTAACACCATTATATACATTTGTATTAATTGATTATCGTGATTGTCATCCAGAAGCTCGTGAATCTGAAGTATTAAATATGTTAGCAACATTAATTAATAAAGTTGAAGATCGTATAACAAATCGTATACCAGAAATATTTGATTTAACATTTGAACATACACTTCATATGATTGATAAAAATTTTGAAGATTATCCTGATCATCGAAAGAATTTCTATATACTTCTTCAATCAGTAACTAATGTTTGCTTTTCAGGTATGTTATAAAAATTTTTTTATAAATATATTTTATAAGATATTTTCAATTTTTTTTGTAAAGCATTATTGGCATTAAATGCAACACAATTTAAACTTGTTTATGATTCTATTATGTGGGCATTAAAACATACAATGCGTACCATATCAGAATTAGGTTTAGAAATTTTACAAATTATGTTAAGAAAATTTCAAACATGTGATCCACAAGCAGCACAAACATTTTATCAAATTTATTATCTTGAAACAATGCAACATATTTTTGCTGTTGTTGCCGAATGTTCACATACATCAGGTATGTATAACTAGAAGAAATAATAAATAAACTAAGACATTGATTTTTATTCAGAGAATTACTATCTATTTCTCAATAACTTATCTATCTCAAATAGAGGTGTGAGGGACAAAAAATTATTTTTAGCCTCAGCCCCAACGACCTTAGTTTTGTGGGTCCCAATCTCAATGATTTTTTTTATCCTGATCCTAGTGACTTTAGTTTTTTGAGTCTCAGTCTATAGAAAACTATTTCAGAATTTATTCTTACAACGTCTAAACAACTTCAATATTCTCTTTTTGATTTGCTTAGTCGATGACTAGTATTTTTTTTTGTGCTATTGCTCTTGAATTATGCTCTGATTGATGATTTATAAGATAGTTCGCTTAAAACGAAAGAATGTTGAACTTTAATTGTTAGTTGCGATTGGAACAACTTTTGTCTCATAGTTTTAACCCTGTTTCTCATCAACTTCTCTTTCCTGTAGGTCTGATTTGGACACATCTCTTATCCATTACAATAGTCAAGATCTTTTGATGAAAAATACTCATTAAGAATGTGGAATAACTCACAATACTGGAAGACATGTGTTCGATATAATTAGTATGAGTTTGTTTTTAACAGTAGAAGAAATGTAGTAATAATTGTTCTCTATTCTAATCAGTAATTCATGGTTTATGGACCAAAAAGAAAAACTATTAATTGGGACAAAGATAATATCGATTGTAGATCGATTTGTGTCCACTTTGTCTATTATTCTTTTAAGAATAGAAGGCATTATATTGATTGTCTTTTGATTGATAGATGAGTTTCATAGTCTCACTTTTCGATATAGTAAGCGATCAATAAATTTCTATCATAGCTCATTTGAAATAGAAATACAGCAATTACATTTCAAATTGCTCAAATTACATATCATCAACTTTTATAAAAGAAATAATCATATTGTTTATTTTCAGGTTTAACAGCACATTCTCAAATCTTAGCCAACTTATTTGTAATTGTTGAACAAGGTCTTATTAAAGTTCCATTGGCACCTGAAGTTCAAGATCCATCACAAAATTTACTTTATGTTGAACAATTTATGGCTAATCTATTAAAAACAGCTTTTCCACATTTACAAGATAATCAAATAAAAGTTATTATTGAAGGTTTCGTTACATTAGATCAAGATATTGCTGGTTTTAAAGAACATTTACGTGATTTTCTTGTTCAAATACGAGAAGCTACTGGTAATGATACGGCTGATTTGTATTTAGAAGACCGTGAACAAACATTAAAACGTGCAGCTGAAGAAAAACGTAAAGTACAAATGAGTGTTCCCGGTAAGTTAAAATTTTCAGAGAAGAAAAAAACATCGAAATTCTAATTTTATTTTTATTATTTTAGGTATTCTTAATCCTCATGAAATTCCAGAAGACATGCAAGATTAAACAAACTCTATATACTAATATACATGCTTGTCTTTTGTTTGTACGTTCTTTTTGAATGAAAAAACAAGAAAAAAAAATATAGTAAATTCAAAAAAAAAAAAAAAAAAAAGAAAAAAAACATTTGTCATTATACTTTTTTTTCCATTCATCTTGTCGATCTCATCGGAAAAGAGAGAAGTTCTTTTTTTTTTTCTTTTTATTTAATTGAAATCTTTTCGATTGTCAATAACATTTCATTTGTATTAAATATTTGATGAGATAAAAGAGAATTGATATAATTGTGTTGATTGTTTGGTCAATATGTATTCATATTAGTGATTGAAACAAAATGGAAATATTCAATGAGAAAAGTTTTGATACTGATTTAGATGACGATGAAACAGGTATCAGTATAGTTTTCTTTGTTTCATAAAAAAAAATATTGTTATTCTAAAGATCAAACTCATGATAATACACTTCCACGTTTATCATTTGATCAAAAACTGACAGCACATCGAAGTAATCGTTTAAATGAAACATTTGGTCAAATAAATTTTCCATTTCAATTTCAATCTAATAAAAAAGTCCGAACAAATGATGATATTCTCATACCTTTACGATGTAAAACTTCATCTAACAATGGTAATTATGATAAAATCTTCGAATAGATTAATTTGAATTTTTAAATAGGAAGAATTCATATATATGAAAATAGTTGTCATATGCTTGACATAGCAATTGATTGGCAATTACATAGTCTACTTTCCCATGATAATATAGTTGTTCATAATCGATCATTTAGTTTTAATGAAATACGTGCATTTGCAACTGCAATTGAAGCAAATCTTGAAAGTTTAATATTAAGTTCGATTGATTTAACAACAAGTTCAATACGTATCCTTTGTCAAGGATTAAGAAAATGTGTTTATCTTAATCTATTAGTAAATCTAAAGAAAATAAGATTGTAAAACAAAAATGTGATATTTTTCTTTTTGATTTTTAGGATTTATCATGTAATAAATTAAGTAGGGAAAGTTTTAAACTATTAGTTGATACAATTAATTATTGTACATCATTAAATTATTTATCTTTGGCTAATTGTGGTATTCAAGATTCATATGGTCGACCTATTGGTAATTTATGTCGACATAAAAGACTAATTGAAATAAATTTAAGTGGAAATGAATTTGAAGACATGGCATGTATACTTATTGGTGGTGCATTAAGTATATAGAATTAGTCATCCTTTCTTTAAGAATAATAAATATTATTGTACTTTAGCGGAAAATATTAGATTGATAGATTTAAATTTAAGTTGGAATTTTATTCGAAGTTATGCCTCAATAGCTTTATTTCGAGGATTTGAAGTAATCATTTTGACTTTTCTTTATTGATGAAATTTTAGTTTCATGTTTCTTTTTTAAAGATTAATAAAACTTTAACAGAATTTGATATATCATGGAGTAATCTTGGTTATGATGGAAGTGTTGCTCTTCGTCGAGTATTAATTGTTAATCAATTTTTATATCGTTTAAATATAAGTAATTGTAATATTGATCGAGCAAGTGCAAAATTGATTAGTGAAGGCTTAGAAAAAAATTCAACACTTCAAAGAATAAATGTTAGATGAACATTTTTTTTTTTTTATTCAAAAATCAAATTATTTATTCACTTGTGTTTTAGTTATCATTTAATCCATTAACAACTCATGGTGTTCATGATATTGTGCAAGCTTTGAATCATAAGAAAAGTGCGATTTCAATGTTTGATATTTCAGTAGGATAAATAATTTAATTGATTTCTATTTCAAATTTATTTTATATGTGTTTTTTATGGTATAACGGTGTTTTCGGCAACTGTTCGTCTTGCAGAAAAAATTGCTGATCGAAGAAATTTTATTATGAAATATGATTTTGAAGTACCTGTACATGATATTATCGGTCGACAAAAAGGTATACACTACATATATATATGGAATAGGATTAGTCCTTCTCAGACAAGAATAAACAATACGTCAAAAAAAAATGAGATATTGTTTTAAGGAATAAAATAATCATTATATCTTTTATTTGACTTATTCGAGTCTAAGAGAATTCTAAATTTTAGTGTGTCAGTTGTCTATACACATTCGAAATCTATTGTGTCCAACTCACATATATTCTTTAGTCTCCTTATACTAAAACAAAATATCTTAAGTGAAAAACCTCCAATAGACTATAGTTGTCTTTAAGGGTAATCCATCGTCAGAAAAGTGATCTATATTATTTATTTCTATATTGCGAATGGAAATTGTTTTTATTTTTTGTTTGCTTCGCTGTTGTTTCTTGATCACTACTCATCATAATTGACGTCTTGCATATAAATTTTTCTCTGCGCAAAAATAAAAAAAAGCACAATATTTAGAACTTTCACAAACGTACTTCAAAAATTAAAACTTTGCTAAAAGCTTTAGACTGTTCGAAAATAGTCTAAGTCTTGTTGTTAATGTCGTTCAACGCCTTTCCTATTGCTAAGAAGTTCTGGAAAAGGAGTTTGACATCCTATCTGATGATCATTGACCTTCTCCTACCTGCTTCGTCGCTTATGAAAGAAGCTATAAAACTGCATCAATAAATATTATGGATTTCTTATTTTCATAAATCATCATAAAATATGCTTGATTGAATTCAAATCTGCCTTGATCATAGATTACTTTAAAAGTTAAAAAACAGTACCTAAGATAATCAACTATATAACAAGGAGATGTTCATGTTCTTTATTTATACCATCGAAGATTCTACTTAACTGGAAATCGTCTGTTTTTCATCAATGCTAATAGAGATCAACAATAACGTTTTAAGCCATTGTTATCTTGTCTGCATTGATAATGTTTAGTAACAAAAACCGATTCAATGCGTAAAATTATTGAACATATTGATGCAAGACATTGGCGTACATTAGATTATTTTCGAATATTGAACAATCAAAAGCAATTACAAGTACAAAATGAAACAATGCCTCATAAGATTTTAGTAAGAATCTTTTTCTTTATAACAATATTTTGTTTTAATTTTACATTTTACATATTAGAAATCTGATATAGAATCTGAAACTGATAAAGTAGAAAAACTTCAGCGATATCTAACTGATCGAATAGTTCAACCTTTTACATATAAGTATGAAAGTTTTTTTTGTATTGCGAAATTTCTATAAATTTATTTTATGATTAATTTTTTCTAGAAATTTAAATTATGTAATTAATCAACAACGAATACGTGATCGATTACAAAAAGTTCGTCAAGAGAAACAAGAAAAAGATATGAAAAACCGAAATAAAAAAATTTTACAAACTGTTAATGAATACTTTCCAGATATTAATATTATTAGTAAACAAGAAAAACATAGAGAAACTATTGAACAATTAGCAAAACCTCGAATATTTAGTACAAATGAAAAACCCTGATTTATTCAATTTAGACGAACTCTATTCTGAAATTTTAATAATTGATAAACAATCTTTCTCGTGATGAATTGTAATAGCTCATAATTCATTTATTAAATAATGTATTGTGTCGATGAGAAAAGGATTTCTTTTTTCAAAACTCAATCTGATAAGTGTCTATGTTAAGCGATCCTATTCTCGTTTTCCTAAGCTAATGGATCTGACTGGTTTTTTTATAGGAACAACACATAGGTCTGAAGTTTTCACTATTCAAGAGAGGAGATTCTGTGCTATATAATTATGTCAATATCTGGTAGGTCAACGACCGGTCAATCAGTTGAGTTCAACTGCGCGGATTCTGAAAAAAAGGATATGTTGAAGAAATTTTTGATCAGATTTTAACTTGAAGTAGAACAATTCCCTGTGACTACAGGCTTCAGCGATTTGATCTTGAAAGACTTCAAAAGAGCTCAAGTCAGGGATAATTTATAATGCTTCCTCAAATAGTGATATTTGTTTCCAGTTTCCAAGTGACCTGAAACTACTCTTTCAAGGTTTCTAAAATTTCGATTATTATAGTGTGTATAGGAGAAGTTTTTGAAATTTCAAAAATACTGAAATATGAGTCTCAGGTCATTCTAGAACTGAAAACAACCATCACCATTCGACTCAGCATGATGAAATACTCCTGTCTTAAGCTCTTTTGGAGTCTTCGAAGATCAATTAGCTGTAGTCGGGGTTCTCAAGACAATCCTTGTAACTCTGAAACGAAACATGTTAGAAAGTTGGGACTTGGATAGATCGAATACGAAAACTTTGTTTTTACTGATCGGTAATATTCCAAGTTCATATTCAATGGGATATAGCTTCAGAATGTCTTTTTCAAAATCTCCGTAGAGAACTCACTTAACCGGTGAACTTTTGAACAAACAGGGCGTGAGGGGATTTGTATGAATGTGTGTGTTGTTTGAGTTCGTCAATATTTATCACGCAGCACATCAACAATATATATATATCTCGCCAGTAAAAAAACAAATAAAAACGGAGGTTCTTTTTTTCTAAGAATCTCATAGTCTACTCTTCTGTAAACCGTATATCTTGGAGATAGAGCAATCATACAAAATAGTTTTTTATCAATTAGTATCTTAGGGAATTCCCTAGATACAATGTGTAAGGAGTTTTTTTTTAAATATCACGCGTTCTGCATTTTCCGCAATCTTTCTAAAAATGGTAATTCCAATTGTCAATGATAACTAATAGGTGAAAAGCATAATTTTCAATAAGAAAAAATTTAAATAAAACATTACGACTTGATGTTTCGTCAACTCATAGTCAATATCATAAAAAAATGAAACAAACATAACATGCTGGAAAAGAGTCCAATTTTTCTTTCCACATGTCGACTACATCGATATGATTTTATTTTATATCGTTTTTTGTTCTTTATTTTTTATCATGTCATATTATTTAATTGTTGATAATGCTGACGAAGTGTTGATGAAACGGCAAATTTTCATTTTATCTTCAATTTTAAACATTTCTACCAATGAATCAGTGATCTAAAAATAATTGTCATTGTTTAGATGATCGTACAAGTCATGTTTCAGATATTGACTTTGTGTTTTCTTCTCATTGCTTCTTTTGTTCTATATATGTTTGTTTGAATATTAATATCAAATAAAAAAATAATTATCTCTGTATATAATGCAAGTCCAAAGACATTTTTTTACTGCACTTGTCTTGTTTTAAAAAAGAGTGAAGGTAAGAAGCTAGTATGGTGAGGTAAAGATAACAGATATCAAAGCAAAACATTATTTATTCTAAGTTTAATTCAAACATTTATGGTTATTGATGAAATAAAAGAATTTTAATTATTTTCTAATATGTTTTAAGATCATCATGGCTTTTACACCATATCAACTCTTCCTTGCTGGTCTTATGTTAATAACTGGAACTATAAATACTTTATCGACAAAATGGGCTGATAGGTATTTAATAATTTATTTCATTCTTAATTTCATATTTATGTTATTAGACAAGAGGCACATTTTTGTAATCGAACAGCTGAACCAAAACAATTTGAGCATCCATTTCTTCAAGTTAATAATTTTGTTTTATAAAGAAAAAATTAATATTAAATTAATGGTTTTCATTTAGGCCGTTGGCATGTTTGTGGGTGAATTTTTATGTTTATTAGTATTTAAATTTATTTGGTATTCAACAGCTCATTATCGTATTGCTCAAATGACGTATAAAGGCAATTCATCATCTAAAATTGTTCAACATTGGCCATTACAAATTAAGAAAGATGTACATTTACTTGATGGTGAACAAGTATTTAATCCACTTATATTTTGGATAGCATCAATATTTGATATGCTTTCAACATGTTTATCTTATTTTGCATTAAATTTGACAACTGCTAGTTCATTTCAAATGTTAAGAGGTTCAGTGATGGTTTTTACGGCTATATTCAGGTAGAATTATATATATATAGATTTAAATCAAGCTTTGAATGTTTTTGTTTTTATTTTTATTTTTCAGTGTAATATTTCTTAGAAAACGATTAAGTCTTATTCATTGGCTTGGTATTCTTACTGTTGTTGCTGGTCTAGTTGTCGTCGGTGTATCGGATCTTTTATTTAGTAAAGAATCAGAAGGCAATCATACAGGTATTCAAAAGCTTCTTGGTATTTTTCTTATAATTCTGGCAATGATATTTACCAGTTTACAAGTATGACAAAAGCAAAAATAGAAAAATTAAATCAATTACACATTATTGTATTTAGGTCGTATATGAAGAACGTTTCATTGGTAAATATAATATTCCACCATTACAAGCTGTTGGTTGGGAAGGAATATTTGGTTTTTGTACACTTGGTCTTCTTCTTATTCCAGTAATTAATTTCAAAAACATTATTCTAGGATATAATTTTTTTGTTTTTAATTAGTTTAATTTTATTCGTATGAAAGGATCAAACTCAGGTCCTGATCATCGTCTTGAAGATTTACCATCAGCATTTTGTCAAATGGCTGATAATTATAAAATTATTATTGCAACAGTTGGTAAGAATACACTTTTATTCATTTTCTTTTATTTTTATTTGTTCTTTTTTTCTTAGGAAATATACTTTCAATTGCATTTTTTAATTTTGCTGGTATATCTGTAACAAAAGAATTATCATCAACAACTCGTATGGTACTTGATAGCGGTCGAACATTACTTATATGGGCTATCTCATTAGCATTGGCATGGCAAAAATTTTATCCATTACAAATTGCAGGTTTTTTTCTTTTAGTTGTTGGTAAGTTGAAAATTTGTTTTATGTCTTTAGTTATTAAAATGAATATTTATTTAAATAGGGATGGGTATTTATAATGGTGTATGGATCCATATATATCATCAAATTCAAGGTTATAGAGGAAAATCAATGGATCGTACACCATTATTGCCTAGTTATGATGAGGCTAATACATTTCCACCAAATCGAGGTGTATCAAATACTCCATCAGGTGCAGAAGTTTATATTGCTCCACACAAAGATTCAATTAATCCATAAATATTTACTTTCTTTCTTTTTTTAATGTGTATAGCAATTGTAATGATAATTTTTTTAAATCTACTGATTACATAGAAAAAACAATTGTTGGATGCACGTTTCAGAAATTTGAATGTATTTTTTAATGTTTGTTGTTTAATAAAAACAATGAAAGAATAAAAAATAAAAGACAAAAAAGAATATTGTTTATGAGCACATACATATTTCAGACACTTTTATATTGTCTACAACTAGAAAAAATATATATAGCTTTATATATACATGTTTAAATTGAACCTTATCATTTGTTTTATTTTGTTTGAATATAAATCAACTATTTAGTTGCTTGAGGCTGGAAGACTTATATTAATGTTCGGTTCCAAATCAACCTCTAATTAATTTGAGCATATCTCTTATGATGTTATTATGATTTGTGACGACATAGAGATCATCAATCTGATATATTGCCATCTGTATTGTGAGAGTGTCGGTCAGAGTTCTAACCGGTTCATTCGGACCAATTCATCTGCACGATTTTCCCTGATTGACAAAATGTTTATAGATGTGTCATTTTTTCTCTAATAAAACTTGTTGAAAATAAATATGCTTACTCTTATCAAAATAATCAAATAATGTTGTTTTAAGAACTGTTAGTTTTATTTTCTTTTGTTCGTCCGCACTATTTTATTTCTTTAATCAACGTATGTTTCATTTTTTTTTAAATCACAATCCAAATCATGTTACATAAGCTAAACTAATATCATATATGTTTTGAGAAAGACTAAATATATATTAGGATCATCGTTCGAAGAAAAATCTTAGGTTTCTCTGAAAAAGATGAATGAGAAATGTCAAGCTTTGAAGTTAAGCAATCATTATAAAGGGTGTAGATATGGATACGGCTGAAGAAAAGAGTTACACTTATACTCACGTTCTCAACATTATCGTGCTCGAAAATACTTTTAGACGTTTTTTTTCTATACCAATATGAATAAATATATTCTATCATGATTTCGACCATTTACTTTGTTTTCTTAAAAGTAATCGCGTTCAGAAACAATTAATAAAATTATTATTTCTGTTGTTATATTTTGTTATATGGGCCAAGATTAAACATTCAAAATCCGAATAATCAATTATTTTTATTACTAATACCATTTAATGCTAATAATATTAATTTTTGTTCAAGAATTGAATATAAATGATAGATTTGACTTTTGAACAGATTCTAAAATAATAACCATTAGAATTTTTCTTATTTGTATCGATTGGTAAATACATCTAGTAAAGCATTTCTCATTTTTTCCATTATATAACAATCAAAAAACGACTATTTGATGCAACATAGCATTAAAGTGTTGATTAATAACATTTTTTTTTTTCGTAGTATGATATTTTTCACAGAAATAAGTTTTTATGATAGTTCTGCTATTTGAAATTACTAGTGTGGAACATAGAAGCACAAACCGTCAATTACAGAAGCGAAGACGACATTATCGGGCGATTGTTAAAGCATAGTGAGGGTATGGATGTGTTTTTTTTTCACTTTTCCCTATTCACACACACTTCTGAAAAAAATAGATATAAAACATATACATGCTTCAAGTTAATTTGTTTATTAAGGTTCTTTCCATTTCTCAACTTTATACTTCACAAATAAAGATTTTTTCTTATGAATATAAATTCTATAGATGAAATAAACATATTGGATCCTTTATCATCAACTAAATAATAATTTGTATTGTTTCGACGCTTGAATAAGTCAGCATTTTAATCATTCGGCATTTTTCCTATAATTTTTTTTTGGATATTTTTCTTTTCTACCTTAGTTCAATTTCCTCCCTTTTTTTTCAATCTAATTTTCTCTAAGTAGATGAAAACATTCGTAGATTTAAAAGTCCTATACATGGATTGTAGACAATAGTTAAATTTGTCTTTAACATGAACGTTAATAACGGAGATACATTATTCGTTTGTTTACTTTGTAGCAATTACGTTGTTATTGTTATGTTTTAATAATATACGGCATATAGATTGTTGATGTTAGCCAAGACAGATAAAGAAACGATAAATTATGTTGTCAAACAACTTTTTGCTATTATTTTCATAGGATAATTTCATATCAAAATAAATATATATAATAGATTAAGTTAAATATGTCAAGTTTCATTAAATACAATAGTCTGATGCTTTTTTTTCTCAAGGGAATAGACTTCAACATCACTTAAAAGTATTCAAGTTGCCGAAATGTTTTTCAACTCGTGTTTTTGAGAAAAATGCGTCAAAATTCAGAGAAAAAAATGTAAGGCGACAAGTAAAGAATCTTATTGTTTGTTTACAACCAATAACATAAAAATCATTTCATGAAGTGAAGAAAAAAACTCGTTAATACAGTGAAACAAATCTTAGTTCTGATAAGATGATAACATTACTTCACAATAAATAAAATATTGATTTAATACATATCAGTATTATTGAATGTGTGAAAATTTTTCAAAATCGAACAATAAAAACAATTACTTTCACATATAATCTCTATTTTCAAAGCAAAATATTTAGATAGATTGTAACAATGATGTATGAGACAGAAAACAACATCATATGGAATAAATTTGCATTCTTTAAATATTTAATTAAAATGCATTGTATCGATTATAGTGATGACAAAAAATCTCAATTACTAAATAGTAAGTGTTATTCATTAAGGAAATTCATTCAAAACAAATTGTATTAAGAACATAATCCATGGAGACACAGATATTCATGGATAAAAAAAAAAAAACAAACAAAACTCAGGAAAAAAATCATCCCATCTGATTCTAGACTTTCTACTCCATATTTTGTCTTGAAGTAGGTCTTAGTGAGACTAAAAAAAAACTCGGGAAGCGTTCATACTTATGAGTCTTCATATCTAAGATATGCTCTAAGTTAGTGATTATACAGTCAGCTCGGAGGTTAGTTTATTTTTTGTGGTAATTTTAAACTCGTGATTTTTCTAGCACTTGGAATATCAAGTTATAATTGTATGAGATTTAGTGACTTGTGATATCACAGAAAAAGACAGACAAATAGAAAATAGAAGAAGATTTGCTTTTTTTTTCTGACATGTGTATCAAATTCATGTCAGACAGTAATATGTAATGCATATCATAAAATATTATGTGCATCAAGTATTTCTCTCTAATAAGAACATGACCAACATCTAATCAAAAAGTATCGAGTGTCGTTCTTCTATTTTCTATTTGTCTCTCTTTTTCTATGATATCACTAGTCACTAAGTTTGGTACAATTACAATTTGATATTCTTATTGTTAGTACAGCCGTACAGTTGAAATTAGCGCAACAAATAAGTTATTATTCGAGCTGACTACATAAACATTGGGTTAGATCTATTGAGATGACAAAGAAATTATATGCTTTAAAAATGAAAAACAATTCACTTTTTTACGACATTATCTTGATCATGTCTAGGCAATGAAGTGCAATAAAACAGAAATATTTCTAAGTATGTCTTAGTGTCACTGAGACTTACTTAAATCTAAAAGGATGAAGTCCAAAGCTTCAAGTCAGTTGGGATGGTTCCCTCATAAGTTTATCTTTTTTCATTGATCAGTATTGTTGAAGAACTGCAAATGTATTGATCTTTTTATGACTACTATTACAAAATTAAAACATGAATTCCTGAGAGACAATATCTTCTTTTTTATTATATTGTCGATCAAATTTCGCACATATCGATGGGATGGTAATAGTTGTTTTTTTTAAATCAGTTATTTGATCCTAATGAAGCATAAAACAACAACTTAACGAACAACATTAATAATTATGTATCTTCTACATTCTTATTATTTATAGACGTCAAACATAGAAAAACTTAAGTCATTGAATGCATTCTTACATATGATCAACGAATAGAAATAAGTTTTTTCAAATTTATCTTTCGAGATTATTTTTAAAATTCTGATCACGTGTATTTAGATTATCGATGGACTAATTAAAAAAATGAATAAATTTGATAAAGTACTTATTTTAATGTCGGTTGAAAATGAAATACAAAACACGAAATATGATTTATTTTCTTCAATAAAAACAAGAAACATAGAATATACATATATCATTTCATTAGTATGATTAATACTAGTTATAATTAAGTATTTTAAATCTTCATGTAAGTTTTTCAATAAGCTGTTTACTAAAAAAATACGCAAATATTTTTATTAATTAAATTATTAATATGAATATACAACTAAACTTTCTGATGATTATTATAAATAAATAATCCAAGCAATTCGCACTAAAAAAAATTTTGTTGATGCTTTTAAATATTATTTTTCATATACCTTTGAATTTTTACCGACATTAAGTAAATGAAATGGTTTTTTTTTTCTTGAATATAAACGCTTTTTAGTTTTCTCTTTAATTGAACGATTTGACAGTTCATTTTATTTTGGCATCACTACAAATATCCGATAATTGTAAAGAAATGTACATTAGTTATGTTGATCTTTATAGTTCTGAATGAAATCGATACTCTTGAAGATTAGTTGTCAAGAATCTTTTCCCCTGTGTTGTCACTCGAGGTTTAATGCAAAGGACAAAAAAAATGTTCATCGGCTGCTGTCATTCACATAAAAGAAAAAAAGATTGACATTTTCAGAGAGAATAATTTTTATAGCTTTAATGAATATCTTTCAACCAAAGCTTTCGACGTCATTATCAAAAAAAAAAACGAACAGAAAACAATCCTATCAAATAAATCAGATTAGTTTTCGTTATATGCTTTCTATGGTTTAACATTTACGATGGTTAATCTTCAATTCTATTTCTTCTTTTTTCCTCTCGTATAAAAAAATCTTATAAATAAATTTTCAAAGATACTAGTTATCTTATTACAATTAACTATGCCTTTACTAGTCGTCAGTTTTTTGATCAAATAAAGATAAATTTCGTAATATACTGTCGTATAAGAATGTGTTAATTATTTGATTAGACTTCTTTTTCTCATAATCATTATAGACAAACGGAAATGAAAATGCACAAGTGAACAAAAAGGTGCTTTGTAATAAAAGACGATAGTATGAGCTTATAATATGAACATAGACACAATATAACTTCAAAGTATAAAGTAGGAAGAGAAATTAATGAGTGAAACTACCGATATTTTTTCATCTCCCTCTATCTTTAAATCATCAGATGACTAAAAATAGACAAGAAAAAGAACGTAAGGCCATAAAGAAAATAGAAAAAAAAATGTCGTGTCGTTCCTTCTAATTGAGCTATCGGAGTATGTTGTATTCCGCTTATTTGATTCAAGAATCTCTTCCCGGATGAATAGCTACTTATACATGTTTTTTTTAATAATAAAGCACAAATGCTATTCTCTTGTTTACACTGGCAATGACTTTTATCTTGTTCAATAATGAAATATTATCAAACGGATAACAATGAAATTTATTTCAATAATTTATTTATGGAAATTTATTTTTTTTCTAAAGTAATGAATTAATTTTTTTATCATTTTTAAACTAATAAATATTAGTTGTAGATTAATTCAATGTGAAATGAATACTACAATGAATAGATTTATTCCAACCATAATCATTCGTCCTTATCCAAATCTACCGTTAACAGAACAAGATATGTATGATTTAAAAAATAGTATGAGAAAAGCAAATGAAATGAATGATTTTGTTGATGATGACGACGATGATGATGATGATGAGGATTATAGTGAAGATGATGATACTGGAATTGTTGAACCATTAACAACATCTATGAAATCAACAACATTGGAAGTAAAGTACAATAGTGTGAAATCTTCATCATCTTTTTTTACATTAAAGTTTATTAATTTATTATTATTATTATTATTATCATTGTTAATTCAAACAAATATATGACAGTAAAATTCATGTGTTATCGGACTACAAAGCAAAAATCAAATACATATTAATCAATTATAATAAACAGCTACTGTTTGATATCGAACGTTCTTCGAGATATTTCCAAATAAGCTAAAAATAAAAATTAGTTGTTTTTTAAATATGATTTATAGAAATTTAACGTACATTACAGAATTGTTTTAGAATAACTTTTTCTGACGTGTCATCTTGGGTCATGTTTTTAATGGATTCATAAATTTCAGCGGTCTTTAAACAGAAAAAAAAACAGATTATCATGACTAAGAAAGTTATAATTTGTTTTACTTTAATAGCATCAAACATATTTTGAAGTGAGATTTGCCGTTGAAGTGAATCGTCTATAGGTATATTAGGTAATGGTTCTTGTTTCTCAATTGATGTTTGTGTAGAAACACTTTGTTGAGATGGTTTCTAAAATTTATCAAACTGTTCAAAACAAGGAAAGCTCTTGATTTTTTTTACTTACATTTACTACTAATTCATTGTTACTATTTATTGTTGTTGACATCAATTGATCAATGAGAGATTGAAGAGTTTCGTTTTCTTTTAATAGTAATATCTGTCGTTGTTCGAGATCATTTAATTTTTCTTGATAATCAACTATTTGAGATGCAAGTTTATGCATTGTACATGTACCATAATATTTCCATTGTTCAACTAATTGATGCATTCTAAATCTTTCTTCATCAAGTAAATTACAAAATTCTTTCAAATCATCATCATTTGATAATAATGACGAATATTGTTCCATTATTATCTCTTCGTGTTCATCAGCTGTTGACTATTAAAAATTCGGCAATGCAAAAATATCAAAATCAACAAATACACAAAATACCTCTTGTGACATGTTTCAATAGCTTAGTCTTATCTGAAATAATATAAGATCATCTTTTATTTTCTTTAAAAACAATGACAAACATATACATTGATATAAATATATACATAAATACATGCATACATACATACACAAAGCAATAAGACTAAAAACAAGATAATATATACATCAAAGGAAAAACTAAAGTAGCATAAATTTAATTTGAACAAGTACGATGGTGAAGTTCAGGATAATATCTATGACGTTGATAAATCATTGGACTATTACTGGCACTATTTGTACTACTTGATGATACATCACCACCACTTGATATTTCACCTAAACTATGTCGAGGAGCATTATCAGATGGATAATGATTATAATGTGGATGATAATGATGATGATGGTGATTGTGATGATGATGTGATTCATGATTATCAAATGTTTGACAGCCATCAAGAAATTGTTGAGGAAAAACAAGTGAACACCATTTACTAGCTAATGTTGATGGATGAGGTAATTGAACACTTCGTTCAAATGTACGTTTTTCAATATCAAAATAAGATGATTTAAGAATATATGATTCACTTGATGGACCTATGAAAAGAAATAAACCAAATGTAATCGAAATGTTTCTATACAATTAAATCTTACCATCATGTTCTTCAAGTAAATAATGTATTTTATCTCCCATTATAGATGAACTTGAGATACATTGATATGAATGTGATACAGGTATAGTTGCTATTTCTGTCCATTGATTTGTTGCCAAGTCATACATTTCGATACAAGGTGCTAAACGATATTTATCATCTTCTCCACCGAATAAAATTAAACGTTTATTTTGATAAAACACAGTTGGATTAAATCGAACAGTTAATGGTGCTGCACATATTGTTACATGACCAGATTCTAAATCAACCATATAAGAATTTTCTGATAAACGATGATTAAGTCCTAGAAATATTTATTTGAAATTTTCAAAAAATAAAAATCATTTGATCTGCTTTTTCATTTACCATCAGTATGTTTTCCACCGATTACAAAAGCAAAATTTTCTGCAACACATGCTCCTGGCCATTTAAGTATTGGTAAATCTGTACATGCTAATGTTCGCCATTGATCTTTTTCAATACTATATACTTCAATTGCTGTTGAACAAGGATGTGTAGCATAAAAATTTCCTTTATCACCATAAACTCTAGAAGATATTGATGAAATATTACTAACGAATAATAAAAAATAGTCATACATACCCACCAACGGCAACTAAACATTCATTTGATCTAAAGAAACAAAACATATCATGTAGAAATTTAAATGTAAAATAGAAAAATTGATTGAATTAAAAACAAAAAAAAAATTATTATTAGTTTATCTTTAAAATATTCATGTCTTTGTTTCATTGAATTTATACATTGATCGAGCAGAATTTTCCATTTGCGAAACCGAAAATATCTTTTACACTACTCCACTTTTGACTTCTGAATGCATCCCAGATATTATATATATAAACATATTTTAATAAAACAATAGTGACAAGTTTTGAATCTGAACTAGAGATGTGTATGGAACCAAAATTTGCAAGGTTGTTGGAACAGAGGCTAGGATCATCGGAAACAAAAATTGCTGTGACCGTTTTATTTTTCGTTCCATGCATCTCTAATCGAAACATATTACAATAAACACAAAGACTATTATAACTCGAATAGATCTCTTATGTTATGTATTGCATTTCATCTATGTAAATATGACGGAAATCTGACCATCTAATGTCAGATCAAGTAACTAGTTTCTATCATCAAGTTAACAGATGAGAAACTTGAATTTATAAGAAGTTATTCTCTCAAACTTTCATGCAACCCTAAAAATTCACTGAGACATTGTCAGTTATCTATTCGATCCTCTAGCAACAATTGTCTATTTATAAAACTTAATTAACAACTTTTAGATACTCATTCAGAATCAATTCGGATACATCAAATGTTTACTATTTCTATGAATATGATTGCTCTAGATTTAGTTAGAGGTATGTCTAATGAGTAGAAGTTAAGTCAGTTAACGTTTTAAATTAATCAAGTCGAATTAGGTGAAAACAATTTGTCATTATTAACTGACAAATATTTTTCTTCTATGATTTTTCTCGAAAAAAAAAAGGAATTTTGTTTAATGCTTTTTTTTTTCAACTTTTGTACTAGTGCTTACCCAGCTAAGGAAAAAAATTGTCTTTTTTCACAAAGTCTTGCAATTTCCGACCATAAACCTGTTCTTGGATCGAATCGATAACATGCATTTGTTGTTTCTCGATTATTTTCTGAATAACCTCCACATGCATAAAGAAAATTATTAACAACAACAAATTTTTGTGATAATGTTCTCCATGTTGCTAATGAATTACACATATATTCCCAAACATCATCATGTTTATTTAATATATACATTGATTCATTAACACAAACAAGACTTGCTTCATTACGTATTTTACTTCGTGGTGATGTTGAACAATATTGACGATTTGGTAATGAAAAATATGAATATGCTTCAAATGCATAACGTATACAATTCGGATCTGTTTTCATAAAATTATGTGACATAACTAAATCATTAAATTCTTCAGGTTTCATTGTTTGAAATCGAACATGTTCCATTAATGAACTTGCATAAATCATACGATTTTTTTCATCTGATTTTAACCATTCAACACACATATCAAAAACTTTTATTTCTGGATAAAGACGAAATTCATTTGAACGTATTAAATAAAGAATTTGTTCATATGTTAAACGTTTAAAACCTTCATTAAGTGCAACTTTAGGAAAATTACGTAAAACAAATTTATTTATCTAATTATAAAAATAAATTTATTTAAATTAAAAATCAAAATAAAACAAACCTTTTCTAATACAGGAATAGAAAATAAATCAGCAAGACTAAGAACATCAATACAATTATCAACAGTTGTTTCTTCAATTAAAAATTCTTCACAAAGTTTTATTGCATGATTCACTTGTAAATGTGTTACGGCACGAAGTACTTCAGCTAAATACATAACAAATATTTATTAATCAAATCGATGTCATCCAAATTCAATCAAAAGAATACAATAAAACTAATCAATAAATGTCTATTTTGAAGTTTATTGTTATATAGAGCTTTACAACGCAACGTATCAAAGAATTTATTAAAAAAAGAAAAAATAAGAAGACATTATTGAGTAAATTTATTTCCTTCACATTAGAAAATTTCCATACGAAAACAAGAGATTTCATAAGACTTCCACAGACTTTATGGGTTTTCAAAATTGAAGACCCTAATGTTTTCTTCTTGCTTTGAGCTATAGCTTTTAATATATGTTGAAATTTCAAGTATGCTGTTTTTTCCTCGAAAACAATATTTTATATGCTATTACATTGAATACTTGTATATGTATTATCCTTATCCCGACTTGTTAGTTGAGATATAACTAATGGAAAGGTAATCAAGTGCATCACGAACTTTATTGCATCGTGTATAAATATAGTAGAGAATGCAGAAGCTTTTCTATTGTATATGAGTTATAATTATATAGGAGAGTTGTAACTAGAGCTTCCCGCTCGGAGAAAATTCTATGTATAGGTTATTTTTCTCTGAATACAACATGCCGAGAGCCTACACAGTATTATTACTTTAATTGAAATATATATCATCGACTTTTCAATTCTCCAGAGCAATCATTCCGACCATTGGAAATAGCGTCTTCAACCACTCGATTTTTCACTAGCAAGTAGTCATCGTTTTATGAGCTTACGAAAAACGTCGACATAAAGATGTCGATTTTCGTCTGGGTTATTTCATTGATGTTTCTTTAAAGATCGAATACAGATTCGGGTGCAAAAACTCAAGATGCGGGAGTTAGTAATTAGATATCGAATAAATTACTCTTTTTTGTTCATTCGATACGGACAAGCATCACATGTTCATCTTTGAGGAACCTAACAGATATTGATGACAATAGTGAAATATTTCTTTCTTTTTTAACCCATTCCTATTAACCTATTGAAAATGGCTCAACTATTCGATTCGTCAATTGTCAATTGGTTGTAACTCCATTTTATTGTACATCTTTTTTTTGATGATATGCTCTGATTTAATTACTCTATAATCTGACAATGGCAATCTATAAATAATTATATTGAACAAAATGCAATCATTTTGAAAGATTTCACAAGCTCAATTGATCTGTGTTTTTTTCATTTTTACTTTCAAGTGATTGAAAAATTTTCTAACTTATTTTATTAAACATACCTATATTCTCAATACTTAATGATAATTCACCGGTGTAAATAAATTCAAGAACAGCTCGTAAGCCATTTGCTGTGATATCCTTCAATTCAATAGTATCTATTTTAAAAAAATAATTTTTTTTATAAAATCAATAAGAAAATTTTCCTATCGTTATTTTACCAGCTGTTGCTTCTTGCATTCCACTTCGACTTATCATAGCTTCAAAATAATCCGAACTAGCCACAAGTACACATCTACAAAAATCACATTATACATATATATATATATGGGTGTTTTATTCATTGGATTTTTTTCTCTTACTTATGTACATTAAATTTTTCATTTTCAGCACAGAGAACAAGATCACAAAATTCTCTTGAATTTCGTTGTTCACGTAAACGTTCAAGTACACTTGTTTTAAATTGATAAGCTTTTCTTGTACGTAAATCTAATTCAGATATTGTTTTATTAGTTGAATCGGTTATTGTTTGTTCATCATCCATTTTTTAATATTATTCTTTTTACTCTAATAAATGATTATATTTATCTTTTGATATAATAGACAATTAGATAGTTATAAATAAAAATTTATTAATTAACCAATTAAAACTAATATTTATTTATATGGTTTTCTTTTTACATTAAAATAAAAAAGAAAAAGAAACATTTGAAATAGTCTTAGTCGAAATATTTTTTTTTCTTTTCATAAAAATCCAAGCGCCCTCTTTTTCTATGAGGTTGACTTGTTTGATCAATCAACAAACAAAATGGCAACCAATGTACTGAATGAGTCATACGAAAAAAAAAATACTACGACAAAAAATAGTTTCTCTTATTATTTTTCTTTTGCCTTCTGTTAAATAATTTTAATTGAATAAATTTATACATATGAAGTTTCCAGATCTATCAATGGTAATTTTCAAGGATAAACTTTGTTTTTAAATAAAGTTATTTTTTTCTTTCATGAAATTCTAGTCGAATCCAGTTCGACTTCGTGATTTAATAAGACAAATACGTTCAGCTAAAACAGCAGCTGAAGAACGTGCAGTTGTACAAAAAGAATGTGCTTATATAAGAGATTCATTTCGTGATGAAGATAATACATGGCGATGTCGAAATGTAGCTAAATTACTTTATGTTTCATTACTTGGTTATCCAGCACATTTTGGACAAGTAGATAAATTAATTTTTTTGAGAAATTTTAAATTGATTTAGTTCTTTTTTTTTTTTATTTTAGCTTGAATGTTTGAAATTAATTGCATCAACACGTTTTACAGATAAACGTATTGGTTATTTAGGAGCTATGTTATTACTTGATGAACGACAAGATATTCATGTACTTATTACAAATTCATTGAAAAAGTAATTTATTTTATGTATGACGTTTTAACTTAAGATATGATCATTTTGGCACTTGTTTTCAGAATGAAAACCTATCAGAATTTGTGTTAGACATTAAAATCTGTCTTTCAGTGTTCAGAATATAACCAATATTAATATGTTGGATTATGTAGATGCTTTCTGAACAATTGAAACATAAATACATAATTCTATCATAATTGTAAATAAGTGTAGATAACTAATGTATAAGGAAAATATCGAATTGATGCTTTATTCAGCTAGGTACATGTCGAGTTGACCTTGTTTAGACTTTTCTCATGGCATATCATGAAGGCAACCGATTCTAATGTAGGAAGATATGTATATTTTTAGTAAGTAAGCTGAATTCGAGAACAATCTAAATCCTCAAAAATGTTTTATTGAAAAAGAATAGTATGTCTACTGCTAACGATGTATCGTGTTACTAAAAGAAAACTAATATCTCACAAGAAACTTGTGCAAGTATTAAATAGTTTTTGAACTGAGATGATATTCATTTGATGAGTAGTGGAAAAGCCTAGAGTGGTTTGGCGTTTCAAATCTTCGCTCTTGAGATATCGAAATTTCCTGTGTTTTTCATCCTCTCAAGTCACAGGGAAAATCAACTTTCGATTTTCGACTTCAAATTTTGTACGAACAAAGTTATAGATGAGATTAGTTTCAAGGGTAAATTGTAACTTTTATAGTACTTTCTTATCCTGCAATATTCAATATTTGAAATTCTTTCATGTGTAAAAGCAAATTATTTATTATATATGTACATATTCAGAAAAGAAATATTAGTTGTACAATCAGCTGATCTCATTAAGAACTTTGTTCGTGCATATTTTAAAGTCTAAAGTTGATGTTTCATATGATCTGAAAATGACGAAAAACCCATTATAATTTCGATATCTCAAGAATGAAGACCCAAAAAATCAAACCAATCTGGACTTTTCTATAATTAAAGAAACATTGTCTCGAGGGAAAATGAATTTAATATCTAGAGAGATTCTCTTGTCAGTCATTTTTCATATTGATAATCTATTATTCATAGTTGATATTTGTCAAAAATACCGCTTTGAAATATCACCCTTGACTTTTATTTATGCTAAAAGTCATGAGAATATTATGTAAAAGATAATCAATAATACCCAGTTTTGAAGCACCATTTAATTGGAGTGATGAAGTAAAGGGGTAAATTTTTGGATCTACCCTCCTACCCATCATAGACCTTGACAGACGTAACCATGGTTACGTCGTAGATCGTATGTCAATAACATCTTCTTAAAATATATGCACGACTTTTTTATTGCATTTTTGAGTGGTTCAATAAACGGATGGCGAAGAAATATATCTCAAACTAGATAGAATAAAATAATTTCATAGAGATTGTGCTATCAGCTTCTTTATAATGTATTTAGATCAATGAAAAGTTGTATTATGTTTCTGATATCTGCAATTCTTTTTATCTATCTCGAGTATTACGAATTTTGAAATCGAAAGAATTTTAATATATTTCAAACATTGTTTTACAATATTTTTCTATAATTAATAATTTATATTATTAAATATTTTCGTTATAGTGATCTGAATCATTCAAATCAATATATAACCGGTTTAGCATTATGTGCATTAGGTACAATTTGTTCACCTGAAATGAGTCGTGATTTGGGTGGTGAAGTTGAAAGATTAATGAAATCCACAAATCCATATTTAAAGAAAAAAGTAAATAGATATTTATATTGTATGTTTTTTTTTAATAAGATGATATATTGCAGGCTGTTCTATGCGCTGTTCGTATAATACGAAAAGTTCCTGAACAATTTGATGTTTTTCAAAATTCAGTTCGAAGTTTACTAACGGAAAAAAATCATGGTTTGTTTAGAAAATTTTTTTTTCTCTTAATGAAATAGAATAAATGAAACATTTTTTTTTTAGGTGTTCTTCTTACTGCAACGTCTCTTGTTACTGAAATGTGTCAACAAAATACTCAAGCATTACAAAGCTTTCGAAAAGTTCGAATTTTTTGGTTTTTTAAACATGAAATTTTGTTTTTTCTATTTATTAATTAGTTAGTACCAAATCTTGTTCGTATTCTTAAAACTTTAATTATGTCTGGATATAGTCCAGAACATGATGTATCAGGAATAAGTGATCCATTTTTACAAGTAAAATTTCTGTTTAATTTTTAAAAATCATCATTATAATTATCTTTTTAAGGTACATCTTTTACGTTTATTACGCATATTAGGTCGAAATGATAGTGAAGCAAGTGAAGCTATGAATGATATTCTTGCTCAAGTATCAACAAATACAGAAAATAGCAAAAACGTTGGAAATGCTATTTTATATGAAACTGTTTTAACAATTATGGATATTAAATCAGAATCTGGATTGAGAGTAAAATTTTTTTTTACTGATTATTATTGAATATATTTTCTCTTTGTTTTGTTTGACTAAAAGGTTTTAGCTGTGAATATTTTGGGTCGATTTTTATTAAATAATGATAAAAATATTCGTTATGTTGCATTAAATACACTATTACGTGTAGTACATGTTGATCATAATGCTGTACAAAGACATCGAGCAACAATTGTTGAATGTCTTAAAGATGCTGATGTATCAATTAAACGGTAGAAAAAAAAAAACAAGACAAATTTCATCATTTAAAATTTAAATCAATTTTTTTTTGTATTTTAGTCGTGCCATGGAATTATGTTTTGCACTAATTAATTCAAATAATATACGAACAATGACAAATGAAATGTTAGAATTTCTTGGAACATGTGAAGCAGAATTTAAAGCAGATTGTACATCAAATATGTTTTTAGCTATGGAACGGTAATGATAAGCGAAAGATTTAAGTTGTTATTTCTTGCTAGGAAAATACTTGGACTAATACATACACAACTTGGGTTCATATTGTATTCACGATAAGGCTAGAAAAATTCTAAAAGAATTCATGCCCAAAGACGTCTGGAGATGAGTTATGACCATTTTACTGAATTGTCGACTATAAATAGTTTGAATAACTAGTGAAATATTCTGAAATTTTTAACCAAAAAGAATGTTCATTTATCAATATTTTCAAGTAAATTTGATTTTTGGAGAAAACCATCATTTTTAGGTATATGCAACATTTTAACAAAGAAATATTGCTTTCGGCTGGAACTTTCAGAATATTCTATTAATTATTCAACTTGTTTATGAGCGAAATTTCAGACCGAAATATCTAAAACTGGATTAAACATTAAATAAAACGATCATGACTCAGCTCCAGATGTTTATGAATATGAACACTTTTAGAATTTTTCTAGTCTTCTTGTTAATCTAAGATGAGCTCAAACGAAGCGTATCAGTTCAAATAATTGCTTTCGTCATCAGATCTTATGTGATCAACAATGTGATACAAGTAGATCCTGGAATAAAATTAGGATTGGACTCGAAATTAATTCATACAGTCACGTATTTTCCAAAAAATAGATTGGAATGAAAAAAAAATTTTACTCATAACAGTCGTGACGATAAGCAGAATAAATATAGATGTATGCATTACAATCTAATGAAAAAATATCTGAATCGGATTTATCAATCTATTGCATTACTAAACAATATTTATGCGGAAAAAATGGGAGGTTTGTTTCCAGACAAAATGTCCTTCCAAGTGAAGTGATTGTGTGAATACGGATGAGTAAAGTAAAATACTTTAATTTGTAAAATGTTTACGAAAATAATAAAGACATTGTTGAATGAAAATAGTGAAGTTTCAATTTAGCTTCCAGCATAAACATTGAATGAGATTGTGTAGCTCGAGTTGATCTTAATTTTCTGCTTTAAAAGAAATCTTTTATGCATTGGTTTTCCTTATGTTACATGGCCAAATCTATTTTATGATTATTTCGAGACAATTAACGCAGAACTATTGAAGTATAATAATACAATACTTATGAGGAGACAAAATTCAGGAAGTTGACATAACAGAGAACTAAGCAAGTACGAATTTTCTCGAGTACAAGTACTTCGAGTATTTTACCAAGCTCTGTGACAGAGAAATAGATTAACATCAGGATAGATCGAACCAGTCGGCTCGGACTTGGTACATGTCTGGCTATAAAATATTTTCTTTTTTTGACTATACGCCTATTATCTGAGAAAATTTTTAATTTTAAAAGCTGTTCATGACTACAGTGTCAGTTGATATCTTCAATAAGTATTTTTTTTTTTGTCAATAAATTCACGAATAGAATTTCATATTGTATTACCTGTAATGATATAAGAATAATAGATTGACCTTTAAATGAAAACCAGTCGATATAATTCATATGCTTTCAAAGAATATGATTATTGAATATTAATAAAATTTTTATTTTTAGTTTTGCATCATCAAAACGATGGCATGTCGATCAAATGATTAAAGTTCTTACTACTGTAAGTTATGGACTTTTTTCAAAGAATTCTCTTGATAACATAATTGAATTAATTTCTTTATTTCATTTTTTGCTTTTCAAGGCTGGAAATTCTGTTCGTGATGATATTGTATCAAGTTTAATTGGTATTATATCATCATCACCTGATCTTCATGGCTATACAGCACATCAATTATATAAAATAATTCGAAATGATATTACTCAACAACCACTTGTTCAAGTAGCATCATGGACATTAGGTAATTAAAAACAATAAAAAAAAAGAAAAAGAAAACATTCTCATTTCTAAATGTATATATTTATTTCAAGGTGAGTTTGGTGATTTATTTGTTAATAGACAATATGAACAACCAAATGATGGAGAAAATCTTCAAGTAAACTAAATAGATTTTTATTAATATAGATATGTAAATATTTGATAAATAGGTTACAGAAAATGAAATAGTTGATATATTAGAACGAGTATTGAATTGGTCAATAAGTACAGTTGTTACACGTGAATATGCCATTAATGCATTAATGAAATTAAGTACACGTTTTCCACGTTGTTCAGAGTAAAGTTTTTTTTTTTTTTTTATTTTAGTTAATTATATAGAACATTATTTTCTTTCTATAGTCGAATACAATCTATAATGACATACTATGCATGTAATATGAACCTAGAATTACAAACACGTGCTGTTGAATATACATCGCTTTTTACTAAACATAATATTATCAGGTATTTGAAAAATATGATATTTACACAAAAATCAAAAAAAAAAAGAAAATATACAATGGCACTTTAAACTGATCGTAAAACTAATAGAAAACTTTGTTTTCCTTATATCTTAAATGCAGATTAACATACTGTAGTGTGGATTTTAGCGAAACCTAGTTCATTTTTTATAGTTTATTTGTACTAATTATCATCTTATTCCACTAAAAACTTACTATTCTAGATGAAAAGTTGTGAGTAAAATTCTTGTGAAATTAAAATGTAAAATTTAATATAGCTGCGCTTACAAATCACAAGGGGATTGGTTTATTTTGGAGTACATTTGTTCAAGATTCTTTTACTTAATCGTTCAGAAATCCAATAGAAAAGTAGTTGATATATCATAACGAGACGTTATTGATATACGATCTTTGATCGTATAATAAAAAAAGTCTCTCGTACTCTTTGACGATCTCCAACGAGTGTTTGCCCACGATCTGGGAGACGGATTGGAATTTCTGCCTCTAAAATTCAACATTTTTTTTAGGTCGTGTTCCACAAACATACTAACAATGAAGCATTTTCATAAGGTTCATAATTGGCTGTATACTTCATTCCAAAAAAAAACATTAACATTTACATTAGAATGAAGAACGACTCACTTTGTGGTTTCGAAAAGAAAAAGATTTTTTTTCTCGTTTTACAGTAAAAGTACCTTTGATATTGATTTTCTTCTCAAAATAATAAGATAGGAGTTTTCTGAGCATCAATTTTAAAATAAATCAAGTGACATGAATTTTAGTATTGTTTGTCTAGTAAAACAAGTTTATGATAGAAAGGGATGATACTTGACATAAATAAACTATGCAACTGAAACTATATTCTATAAAACTCCATAGCACAATACATTAAATCTTTTGTAAGATATTAGGACAACAAAGTCATCTATTGGTTTAGAGGGTCATCGATTAGAGAAGTGATGGTAAGGGCTTTTCCTCTCCAAAAATATGGAACTTTCTGAAATATTTTTTTTACAGTCTAATGGAATTCATGATAGAGAGAAAATTTTAGTCGCTTTAGCTCTGCTTTTGATAGATATTCATACGAATATGCTTTCAAATTGAGAACCCTGCTTTGTAATATGATCAATTTTGAGCGCCATTGTATATAAAGTCAAAGATAACAAATCTCGATTAGAATGGTCAAGTTCTTATTTTTCTAATGAATATTAATTCAGTATACTCATAAACATGATCTTTTTATCCAATACACAATTCCCAAATTGCTGAAATAAATAAATAACAATAAATAATTTTATACTAATTCAAACAAAGTTGATAACGTATAATAGAAAAGTTTTTAGATAACATGTTTGTTCAATTTTGGTTTGCACGAAAGTATTTCTGATCAGTGAAAGGATACGAGTTAAGATGCTCTTGTTTAATATAAACTTACAAAGTTTGTCTCGAGTTGTGTTCAAGAGCGGTGAAATAATCTTTGAAAACCTAAAAAAATTAGTATAGGCGGAAAACTGTTGCATTTCATTCTTGTGGTTAGAAATTAAAAGTTGGAGTAAACCTCAATTTTCGTCTTGCTCAAATGTCCATTTTCGAAAAATTTACAATCGTTTTATGTTGACGCGAGCTCTTAAACAAATGCTTAGAGTCTTGTTTGGGTAAAAGCTACAGTTTCTTTCAATATCACACTTTTTAGAAAATTGTTCTCTCTACAAAACTATCGAGTCCGACATTTTTTAGCATGTTAAAAAAACAGCATATGCTATAAACAAAAAACAACCTGTTGCTTCACTATTCAAAATAGTTTTTCAAGTCTTTCAAAAAGTATCTCACTTGTCTCGAACAAAAATTGACGCAAAATTTTCAACAAGGAACCGGTCTTAATTACCCTTTTTTGATTTCAATGATTTTTGACCATAGAAATACAAAGTTTTCTAATAAAAACCCTAAACGAATTCGGATTCCTATTGAGACTTGATCAGGAAATCAAATTTTTAATATGTCTATTTTCTAGAGGCCCTATGTTTTCGGAGAACTAGTATGTTTGAATTTTGATCTGAAAATTTGCACATATAGAGAACTCAACTAGACTAGATTTCATAGAAATGATGCACAAATTCTGAGCAAAGTTGTTTCGAGATATGAAGCTTTCAAAAAATGTATACTGTATACACTATCTACGAAAAAGGGTCCTATACTTTGAAAGTCTCATATCTCGAAGAGGTTTTTTTACAAACTTCGGAGTTATTTTTGGAAATTAGTCTAGTTGAGTTCTTTATATAAGCAAAGTTTTAGATCAAACTTCGAATATGCTAGCTTTTCGAAAACAATGAGCTTCTAGAAAATAGATATATTAAGAATTTGGTAGCTTAATTGAATATTAAAAGAACTGAATTCCTGATCTATAGGTAAGAATTTGTTGAAATAGAAGGGAAACAGCTGAACAGCTTCCCTGGTAAGTTCATATTCGAGAAAGAGTATCCTAATTGATACTTTTTGACTCGTCGGAAATAATTAGTATTTAGTAGACCAAAAGTGAACAAACATCTTGACTAAAATCTTTCCGATCACCTGTTAACTAACAAAACACTGAAAAAAAAATTCATTGTTTTCTATTTTAAGACCAAGTATTGTTGAACGTATGCCAGTTCTTATCAGTAATCAATCATCAAATACAAATACTAATGAACAGCAAGAACAAATATATAATCAAGAAGAAAATACATCAAACGATAGACAAATAAATCATACGCCATCGAATGAGCCTGGCGTAAGTCAATTATTTTTTTTTTCTATACGGCTCAAATTGAATTAGTGTTCTATTTTTTTAGGTTGATTTATTGAAATTTCTTGATGAACCTCTTCAAACAAATGGATCTATTCATCCTCATGAACAACAACAACAAAAACCTTTATCATCAAATCCACTTACAGATTTAACTTTCGGTGATGATATATCACATAATCATTCGAATAATAGTAAATTATTTTCAAAAATATAATTTTTATAATAATTTTTTATTTTAAATTTATATTAGTTATTCCACCAATGATAGCATTAGATAAAAATGGTTTACGTATTGTATTTACATTTGAACGAGAAGATACAATATTAACAATTCATTCTAAAGCAACAAATACTACACGATATCCAATAACAAATTTTATATTTAAAGCAGCTGTACCAAAAGTAAAATAACTTGAATATTTAATTAAATAAAGTTTATATTTATTTTAGACATTTACTATTGAATTATATCCACCAGATAATACAGCAATACCAGCAAATAATTCTGGAGAAATTAATCAAATAATAAAAATTTTAAATCCGAATAAAGAAAAACTTCGTATGAGAATTAAACTTAATTATTTCTTTAATAATTCATCAATGAGTGATGAAGCTGAGTTAAATACATTTCCTGAACAGTGTTATAATTAATTTTTTTTTGTTGTTTATTTCTATATCTACATACATATATATATACATATATTTATAATATTCTTTGATTGTGCATGTTTCTCCTTGTCACTGATTTCTTAACATTGAATTGTTTTGTTCGTAGGATTCTTTTTTTTTTTTTTTTAAGAAAAACAAATGTTTAAATTTACATCAAACATCCATTCCATTTATATAAGAATTTTAAAGAAAACAATGATTTTTCTTGTGTTTTTCATACACATTCTGAAAGAGAAAAGAGTGAATGTAATGATAAAATAAAATGAATTTGATTTTATTTCATGAAAAAAAAAACAAATGAGTTCAAATTATTATTTTAGATGAGTGTTATTATTGGTGAGAAAGAATGAAGATGTTCTGTAGATGGTTTATTATTTTATTTAGGAGGAGGAAAAGGTTTTATTGGACAACGTTTGGTACAATTATTAAGAGAAAAAGGTTTTCAAAATGTTTGGATTGTATCAAGAAAATCGGATGGGAACCAAAACACTTTGACATGGGTATTTATAATGAGTGTTATAAAATGAATAGATTGTTTGATAAACATTAATTATGAATTCGACATTGTTTTCAAGAGATAGTCTTGCATGAATACGTTTTTTTTATGATAAACGATAATAAATTATAGCTTTTGCTAATGATATTGAATCGGGAGGAAGTAAGGGCAGCATACTAGGCATCAAATTTTACTACAAGATGCTGTAGGTGTTGAAAGATGCTATGGTCCTCATATATATCTATATCATAGGTTGAACTAGGATAGAGTCATTAGTAACTCAAACCACAACTGATCGTAAAGAAGCCAGTGACATAACAGTGCAAAATAGTATGAATATCAGCTAAATAGATAATCAATTTCTTTATTTTTCCATATTGTGACAACAAATAATGTTTTTATGACAATAAGTCATGCAAAAAACTTGACTATTTTTTACGAGTACAGTGGGTGCTGCTTCATTCTTCTTTCTCTAAACAATAGACATCGACGATAGCTTCTCGAGCTTAGAATCATAATGCAGTATTCATCCGTATCTCATTTAAATTAGCTAATTGAACATGAACGAGTCCATAAGGTACAGCAAAAGGAACTCACCAAAATATTCGTTGTCTATCATTCATCGATAATTCTATGAGCACATACAAGCTTATCGCTTCTTTTCAAATATCAGCCTACATGTGATTCACAATCTATAGCTCTCATTCATTGTCTCCTTCAATGTTTGTACACGTATAACATAGATCATCCTTATGATGGAAACCATATATGCAATAGGACAAATTTATTATAGTTTGGCCTGAGTGAAATTCATAATGAACCCTAAAAATAGTCTAGTCTTCGATTGGACTGACGATTCCACGTCAACTCCAAGTTTGGACTAGACCATTCTCGAGTTCAAAATTGATCTAGAAAAAAACCAGACCAAACTGAGATTCCAAAATAGACTCGTTCAAAGCCGAATGTTAATGTATCCTAGGCAAATCCAAGATTAGTCTACGAGATATATTTGAAGTTGCATTGGCAATTAAGTTAATACTTATAAATGAGAGCAATACTATCACCCATTGGTTTTTTTTTCTATCAAGATAAGGCTGTTTTTCGAAAATGACGGCATTTTTAATAAAGCTTCACTGACGCTTTTTGGAGTCGAGAAATTCAAATCTCTAACCAATTATCGAAATTCTCAAGTTCGATTTTTTTCGTTAAGGGGAAGCTTATTTTCTATGGTTTATTCACGTGTCGTCACGTACAGATATTTTTTTGAACTAGACTTTCCTGATCGAAAAAAAACAAACTCAAGAGTTTCGAAAACCGATTAGAAATTCAAATTCTTCGACTTCGATAATCTTCAGTCAAACTTTATAAAAAAAAACATTTATTGGCAAAGAAGAACCTTGTCCTGATTGAAAAAATTTAATTGAAACAGCATCACTTTCATTCCTATCTATTACTGCAATATCCAGTTTAAGTTAAGCTATGTACGAGCATCATAGCAACTTTTGGTGCTGAAGTGCTGCCGTTATAGAAACTTTGAAGTAGAAACGTCTATACCTCTATTTTTCCTATTCTATGCTTTACTTCAGGTCAAGTACTGTAAAGAGTAAATGCAATGTTTTTCTGAAACTAAGATCAAACATATTTTTCATTTATTTCATATCATTCTACAACAACGATGAAGCGATAGCTGTCCTAACAAATTAAATAAACCTTTATGACATACAGAGAAAAGATAAGGGGAACAAATACAAATATCCTTCAATTATTGATTTTTCTTTTCTCTTATGTTTTTTTAAAATTCTCATTCGAGGGAATAAAAATATAACTGTACATGTAGATGAGCTATCTAGTAACACAACATAACTTGTTGTCATATTTGCTTTGCATTTTTCGAAGAAAAACAATATTGGATGAACAGTTCGTCTTGACATGTTTTGTTTTGTATATTTCGTGGCCTTTTTCTGATATAAGATAAGAATGAATACATTTTGGTCCGTGAGAACTTCAGTCAATTTCATCATACTGTTATGAGTACACAATATTAGATGAACCTGCTCATCTCCCAGATATGCTCTAGTGAAGACTTGTCTAATCATATAAAACGGTTACGCTTAAGTAGTATTAATATGAATAGGTCATCCAGAAATGCATGTAAATGCTTTTTGATTACGTGGAATTCGTCCGAACTTTAGTAAGAGTCCCACTGACAATATGAGTCAATCATACATAGTTGTTCTTCTTATGATAGAACAGCTCAAATAAAGTGTGATTATTGAATAGTAATGGATGATATCCAACGCCATAAAAATAGAACATGATAAGACCATGAGAAACAAATCAATCTCTTTTTTTTATTCGTTCTTCGGATAATCAAATCTTCTTTAAATGTGCTCACATATGCATAATAAACTATAGTAACAACATCGTATATTATATTTATTTTATTGATTGAAGTCCATACACGGATCTGAAGTACACAACAATTAATAGTGTTTAGTATAGACATGTTAAGGTTAATCTAAGAGATAGATTAAAAATCAATGTTCTAAATTTAGAATAGAATATTTTTTTTCATGATTCGCCTCTAACTTTAACAAATAATAAGAGATGCATTCATTTTGTGACATTTATTGTTCAAAAATTGATTAATATTTAAATGAATCCATAGGATGACATTCGTAGTGGGACTACACTGTCTGCAGTAAAACCAATAAAAGCAATTGTAAACTTAGCTGGCGCACCTTTACTCAGTTTTCGACGTTGGACTGATGCATATAAAAATGAAGTTGTTCAAAGTCGAATAGGTACAACAAAAACATTTGTGGATTTTATTAGAGATTTAAAAGATGAAAAACCAGAAGTATTTATATCAATGTCTGGCGTAAGTAAGTTTTATTTAAACAAAAAATTTTATTATTTTATTTCAATAAATATTTTCAAAGGTTATTATAAACCAGATCCAGTTATAGAATATACTGAAAAATCAGAAGGTGGTGATTATGATTTTCTATCACGATTAGCAAGAGATTGGGAACAAGCCTCAGAACCTATTCAAACAAAGTTTAATGTTAGACGAGTTATTCTTCGTTCTGGTATATTCACTGAATTTGTTACATAAAATTTCGATTTAAGATTTCTTCAATTATAGGAGCAGTACTTGGTTCAAGTGGTGGTATGATTGGATCAATGTATTGGCCATTTTTCTTTGGTTTGGGAGGTAAAAAAAAATCCTGAGATGCAATTTTCAATGATTTTTATTTACAAATTCGTTCAGGTCCAATTGGTAATGGTCAACAACCATTTCCATGGATTCATCTTGATGATGTTTGTTTATTGATCATATACGCTATACAAAATAATCATGTTAATGGCATTTTAAATGCATGTGCACCAGAATTAATAACAAATCGAGAATTTTCTCGAACATTTGCTTCTGCATTTAGTCCATCACGTTTAGCTATTTTTCCAATGCCTGCTTTTCTTATGAATACTCTTCTTGGTCCCGAACGAGCTATTGTAGCAACACAAGGTCAAAAAGTGATTCCTCAAGCTACATTACAAACTGGTTATACATTTAAATATCCAACTATTAAAGAAGCTAGTCAAGATCTGACAAAATTGTTTCGTTAATTTAATTAAAACTATGCTACTTGGCATTAAAACTTTGTATTTTATTTCAGCTAATCATTATGTGTAGAATTACTTTAAAACTTCCTTTGAATTTGTTAATCAACCTGTTAGTTTTTACAGTCAGTAACATTCTATGTGAAGATTAGTATTCTTTGTATTCGTTGAAGTATCTTTCTCATTTTCGTTCTCTTTTTCATGTTGACATTGCAAGATATTATCATATAAAATGTAAAATGTTATTTTCATGCTTTCGCATTCTTTCTTTCAACATGACACAAAAATTGTTGATTATGCTTTAAGAAACAACATAATACAAGCAAATAGTTTCAGTTTTTACTTCACTCATTTTCTAGCAAAGACTTCTTAGGTTTTTTTCTACAACACAAATTTATGAAAAATGCCAAACAAATGTCGAGGTATTGGTATTGATTTGGGTACAACTTATTCGGCAAGTGAACAAACAAACAATAAAAAATAATAATCAAAGAGTATCTTTGTTTTATTTTTGTCTAATAGTGCGTAGGTGTTTTCTATGATGGAAAAATTGAAATAATTGCCAATAAAGAAGGTAATCAAAAAACATCATCATATGTTGCATTTACGGATACAAAACGTTTAATTGGCGATGCAGCAAAAAATCAAATTAATTCAAATCCATACAATACAGTTTTTAATGCACAACGTCTTATTGGACATAAATTTGATGATTCAATAATTCAATCTGATATAAATTATTATCCATTCAAAGTAGTAAACAAGGATGGGAAACCAAATATTCAAGTTGAATATAAAAAAGAAACAAAACTATTCACAGCTGAAGAAATTCTAGCAATGATTTTATCAAAAATGCAAGAAATAGCTCAAGCGTATATTGGGAAGAAGCTTTCCGAAGTTGTCATAGGTGTACCAGCTTATTTTAATTATTCACAGCGGCAAGCGATAAACAATGCTGGCGCTATTGCGGGCCTTAACGTTCTACGTATTATTAATGGATCCACACTAGCTGGCATGGCTTATGGTTTTCATAACAAAGTTTCAAAAGAACAAAATGTGTTAATCTTTGATTTGGGTGGTGGCACTTGTAATGTATCTGTTTTAATAATAGAAGATGGAATTTACGAAGTTAAATCAACAACCGGTAGGAAGATTTTAATGCAGTTTTAAAGAATTTCTCTTACATGTTGTTGTACATGTTAGGTGATACACACTTGGGTGGTGAAGATTTTGACAATCGAATGATCACATATTTTCTTCAAGAATTTAAAAGAAAACATAACAAGGATTTATCTGTCGATAAACGTGCTCTTCGACGATTACGCACGGCTTGCGAGTCAGCTAAAGTAGAATAAATATGTTTTTTTGTTTTTGCTTAATATGAAAAGAAAAATTTATTTGCTAGCGTACTTTATCATCATCTTTGCAAGCTTCGATTGAAATCGAATCTTTATTCGACGGCATTGATTTCTATTCCAAAATAACTCGCACTTGTTTTGAAGAGCTTTGTGCTGATTTATTTCGTGCAACACTAGGACCCGTTGAAAAAGCACTACGTGATGCTAAAATGGATAAATCACAAATTCATGAAATTGTTCTTGTTGGTGGTTCAACACATATACCACAAGTACAAAAACTGTTACAAGATTTTTTCCATGAAAAAGAACTTAATAAATCAATTAATCCAGATACTGCTGTTGCTTATGGTGCAGCTATTCAAGCTGCGTTATCAACAGATGATAGATCAGCAAATATTGAAGAAGTTCTTTTACTTGATGTTACATCCTGTTCATTCGTTAGAAAACTAAACAAAAACTTTCGTCTTCTTGAAAGTTCTCTTTTTAATTTTATAGGATATTGAAGGACCTGATGGTATTATGATACCAGTAATTAAACGGAATACAACCACTCCAATTATACAAACTCACACATTGACAACATATGCAGATAATCAAACAAGTATACTTATTAAGGTTTATGACGGTGAACGTACAATGGTCAAAGATAATTATCTATTAGGACAATTTGAATTATCAAAAATTCCACCAGCGCCACGAGGAGTACCACAAATTGAAGTTAAATTTTCTATGGATGACAGAGGTACATTATTTGTGTCAGCTATAGATCAAAGTTCTGGAAAAGAAAACGAAATTATCATAGTAAATGATCAAAATAGTTTATCTAGAGATGAGTCAGAACTTATGACTTTGGATGCTAAAAAACTTCAAAAAGATAATGAGATATCACATAAATATAATTCAGTAAAACAATCATTCGAATCTGATAATTTTAATACTGAGACAACAATCAATAATGGAAAATCAATAGATAAAATTGATGCAAATGAACGAAAAATTATAATGGAAAACATTGAAGAAATACTTAAATGGACGAAAATAAATCAAGTGAGATTTATTTAAAAGATTACGAGTTTTTTTTGCATGTATTCTAATTTTTTTAGTATGCTGATAAAGATGTAAATGAATGTAAATTAGAAAAAATCGGAAACATTTGTAGTTCACTTTTGAGTAAACTCTCTATTGGAGCCAGTGCCATACCTGATGGCATACATGTAGATAAACGTAGATGTTTAAGGGCAATTATTGAGGTAAGTCTCTTTGGAAAATGTTCATTTTATTTCTATTTGTGTAAATTTCATTAGGATGATGATAAGAATAATGTGAAATAAATTCTATTCGAGATATCTTGTTTTTATTTATGTACATAATAAACTTTCTGACAAGCGAATAATGTATGTTCAAATTACATTCTAAATTGATTTTTGAGTAATTCAACATTAATTAAATAAAAAGTGTAATAATATTTTTTCTCTTATGATTATTTAAAAGTAATATATGAAATAACCATGAAGAATATTGAAATTCATTGAAATATTTTTTAATTAGAAAAAAGCTGCTGGTTCAATACCTGCGGGATTAAAATGTAAAACACAATCGAGCTGCTGGTATTGTAAAAGAGGGCATTAATTAACATATATTTCGGATTATGAATTTCAACTCACTCTGTTAATGCACATTGATGTTGAAATATCTGAATCACAAAACACTACAATGAATGTGACAGTCAAGGACAATTATTAGGGTAATCTCGCAATGGACTTTGATCTCGTGGTTATATCTGTCACGTTTGTGTATATGCGAAAGGGGAGATCAAGTTTCTACCTCCATACATCAACAAACCATTTAGGTCGTGATTTACCAAGGTTATTTTTCAATTGAGCTAATCTAATTGAATATTTGATAAGGTTATTTACATTTAGAATCTGATTACTTGTGTCCAAATAGATCATGAACACCGCTTGTATTTATATTTTTATTGTTTATATACTTTATTGTGAGGGTTTTCTATAAAAATTTCCGAGCATTAAATAATTTTGGTATCTGGATACACATGTGATGGTAAGTTTGCGATGCTTGTATGGATGAGAATGAGACTATGACGCTGTAGTGAACGATGAATGTTGAATGGAGTGTGGGTGTCATTATTTGAAAAGTGAAGAAAAGTATCACATTGCACGCAGACAAATATCCTCCCTGGCAACCTGACTGACATCGACACAAACATCCACATCGAAGTGACATTGATAGGTGTTACTTTTTCAATTGATGTTCCATTTCGATAAGCAGTATTCAAATGGACGTTCTATGTACTTGTATCTACATTCTCTCAATGCTTTGGAACTTTAGTGTTCTGAATATTTACGCATCGACAGAACGCTCGAACTGCTTAATGTTCACAGCTTGTTTTAATTCAGTGAGGTAAAAATACTTCAACTTTATGGCAGTCAACAGTATGAATACAGATCGTAAACTGTTTCTATTTACAATGTTTGATCTGATGTACAAATTCAGTCGATATTTTAATAATAGAATAATGAACAATGGTATACGATTTGTTTACCGTACATTACTGCTATTAAAATGAATCTTTAAAGTATTTGTAAACGGACTGTGCTTGCACTATTATCACATCATTAATTTGTGATTCACAGATTAGCTTTACAATATCCACACAGTCCTAGTTATCCAAACGATTTTAATTACACTACTGGGTATCCTTACACATTATTCACAATAGTTAGGATACGAAACAGAGATGGGCAAGTTAAGCGAAAATGAGTTAGGTCAAAGTCAAGTCAAGTCAAGTCATTTTTGACTTGTTTTGACTGACTTGGAAAATATCAAGAAGACTTGTGACTTGACTTTGACTTGTCAAAGAATTTTTTTGGAAGACTGGTGACTTGAAGTGACTTCAGTTGGCTTTAAAGGTTTTTGACTTTACTTGACTTCTGACTTAGCAAAAAAAACTCAAGCCAAGTCAGGGAAATTTCTGTAGCTCCAGCGAATAGTAGGTTCGCCAAATGTGAAGTTATTTTGTCCTTGTACTATGAAATTCAACATCTTTTACCATAGATACAACAGAAAATCTCCATTTTTTCCTCATGGAACATGTGAATAGTCCTTATCACATAATCAATAAACTATGTAACAACATTATTAGCAGTTAAATAACTACCTATAAGAGTTTAAGATAATGATAAAGATTCGGATAGATTGATTCTAATGAATCAGTAGATTAAGTATAAAACATTAAATCCGTTGTCAAAGAGGTGACCGGACAATTCGTTGCAGGACAATTCGTCGCGGACAATTCGTTGCGGACAATTCGTCGCATGGACAATTCGTTGCAAGACAATTCGTTGCAGGACAATTCGTCGCACGGACAATTCGTTGCATGGACAATTCGTTGCAAGACAATTCGTTGCAGGACAATTCGTTGCATGGACAATTCGTCGCAAGACAATTCGTTGCAGGGCAATTCGTCGCAACGATATAATCCAATTATAACTTATCATTATTTTCTCATAAATGAATTGACCTATTAAGATAAGTTAGAAACACATAATTCAATGAATATGAAAATTGTAGAGACTATTTTTAATCACTAAACTTTGATTTTTGATTCCGAGCAGTACAATAATCGTCTGGTACACATAAAAAGTTAGGTTCTTTGAATTATGTCAGCGGTAAAAGTTTTCTTATAGAAACAGAAGTGGTGTTGCATCTTTCTTTCAATTCCTATTGTAGCTCAGGATTTACGACACATGGAACAATAATTTGAGAAAAGAAGTGAAACTTAGTGCTCACTAACAAAGATTGGCTTTAGCATAACTAAAAAAAGCTTTTGATCAAATCTTTTTATTAAATATCCTTATTTAACGTACAAATTGTGTTAGTTTAAAAATTATCAGCTCTTATTTGACATGTTTAAAATTAAACTAGTTTGAATTCATCGATAATTTATACAATGCTAACACTAGTGTTGATGATTTCTCACATCTGAGGTTTTTTCATCTCATCAGTATTAGTCGTGATGCATAAAATAGATCCGATTTTTTTTATCAAACCAGAATTTCTTATGACAATACAACCCAAAATAAAAATTCAAAGTTTAGTGATTAAAAATAGTCTCTACAATTGTCATACTCATTGAATTATGTGTTTCTAACTTATCTTAATAGGTCAATTCATTTATGAGAAAATAATGATAAGTTATAATTGGATTATATCGTTGCGACGAATTGTCCCGCAACGAATTGTCCGTGCAACGAATTGTCCTGCAACGAATTGTCTTGCAACAAATTGTCCATGCAACGAATTGTCCTTGCGACGAATTGTCCTGCAACGAATTGTCTTGCAACGAATTGTCCATGCGACGAATTGTCCGCAACGAATTGTTCGCAACGAATTGTCCTGCAACGAATTGTCCTAGCACCGTCAAAGAAAGTACTGACAGATTCCGCAGTATCATCACATATAGAAAAAATTTTCTCTGAAAGAAGCCTCACATTTCGGCATCATGGATCTAACAAAGTCAAGAAAGACATTAAATGTTGCAGCCATATTGTTATATTTCTGAAATACTAATACAATTTGCTTTGTAATAAATAGATGTAGCATAAAATTACGAAATTTTAAAACAATTTAAGTCAAAGACTTGAGACTTGACTTTGTTTAACTTTAAAATGTCTGCTTCGAACCCATGACTTGACTTCATAGGTTCAATTTTTACGAATGACTTAATTTGACTTGGCTTGGGTACAAGAAAACCTGACTTGTCCATCTCTGATACGAAAGAATGACTGGCAGCACGTGACATTACTCACGTATAGGTGTGCTGCATGCTTGTGTTTCGTTTCGTTTTACCAGCGAATTTTGCAGGGACTAATGAGTATCTTTCATGTTTCCCAAACACTCATCAAGGACTACAGTGACACAATATGCGATTCGCAATGCTCTGACAGGCGTTCGCAGAGATGCCAGCAGTCGCGCGGGACAGTCACAACCGTTTTAGATGTCTATTACACGGTTCTATCTACGCTCAAGATAAACAAATGAAAAATAGGATTTGAAATGTAAATTCCTGAAAGTTTGCATGAACGTAAAGTAATCTGTACCACATAACGAAAGCATAATGCATCAATAGTATTTGAAAACATGAATATTATTATCGTTTAGTCAAAGATCTCAACTATAATAGAAAAAAAGGATTTTAAATAACATACAATTAAAATGGAATACGATGCAAATGAAAACGTTCGCAGAACCATTCTTCCATGGACTCCTCGATGATATTATATGAACTTCGTGAAAATCATTGATTATGTATCATCATCATCATGACTCAATACTTAACAGTAGATTTCGGACTTTTTCATAATAGGAAGTAACGACAGAGTCAATATGAAATAAGTACATGACGCTTACGCAGTTGCTTAAACAATCCTAGTGATAAAATCTTAGATGACACACGGCAGTCTACAATGATTGCCTTTTGACATAATTCGTTTATTTCGACTTGATTGCTCATACGATAAGAACTGCATTCGCAACGAAAAGTAAATACAAAAATTTCTATACAATCAAGTATTTCCGTCAAACCTTAGTCTAAGTTTGTCTAAGAGGAAATAAAAAGGAACTCCAAGCTTTTAAATATTCATACTTTTCTATGCAATTGGTAAAACTTAACAAGGTGGAAAGTCATCGCTTGTTGTTATCACGACGCGTTTACAATCTATGATTATATTGCATTACTTTATCCAAACAAGTAATTGCAAAAGCATCAAAAATTTACGACTCAAAACTATCATAAATTGATTTAAATGAAAAAGAATCCAACTAACTACATCATATATTCAACATATATTTTATCATTCCAGGCATGTCAAAATTTTTCATGCATATCGACTAGGATTATCCCAACACTTCTCACATTACTCATAGCACTTGTCTACCGAATTCTGATTCAACTTGATCAATTTAATATTATATGCTAGACGCGAAACGTTTGTACACACATGAATGCAATTGTCATCAGTTACCTATTATCGATTCCAGGTAACACAATATTAATTGTAAAAACCTAACTTCTATCATCTTGAACACATGATTTATCTTTCTAAGATACCAATCTATATGACGGTTCACTAGAGTAGTTCCTTTTGGCAACCTATCCAATACTAGAACAAACCGAACAGATTTGACAATGTGTGGAAAACTCCGTACTTATATTGGTTTTTTTTCGAAACAATGAATAATAATCCATATCCGAGATATAAACAGATGGATAGGTAACGATAGAGCGTTCTTTATGTGTTAGATTCATGGATTCATATATTAGATCGCGTCGTTTGCAAACTAACTCTTGGATTCGTTTAAGTTGGAGAAGTAAATAAGAAGAATGGATTTTCTTTCAAATCATTCATTTGTTGCTAGCATCTTCACTTCTAGTGAGAATTCTCTAAGTATATAGAGTAGTTCTCATGTATGTGCTCTGTTTCTATAGTACTCTGTGAAAAATTTTTCAAGAAGTTAGTAGATTGAACATCTAGAGAAATTTTGTAGTCAAGAGTTGAAAGCCTAGAAAGTACTCTTAAGCAATGAAATACTCAAAATTTTCTGTGCCATAGTGGTAGCAAGGTATCCTGAGCTCAGTACATTCACTAGAGGAGGGCATCATCAATTTATTTAATGTCTTGTTTTTCAATAAGAAAATGTTGTACTTGAGTTAATGAATTACTTTTTCTTGTCTTAACCGTTGCTCTATCAAAACACAATTGTACATGCAAAAGTACATACATGTTATATGTCTGTTTTGATCAGCTCCTATTTATTAACAACATTGATAAGTGTGGAAAAACCTATTCGTATTCATTATCGTACACAAATGAACTGAATCAATACAGTGTTTTCTGATGGTATATATTTTTCGTTAAAATCTTTGATTAAATTATGGTTAACAAACGATTGTGTGCTGTTCAGTCAACACTACAAGAAATGGAAAAGATGATTTAGGAGTTAACCATATTTTTAAGCTTTGAGTAACTTTTACATAATGAAGGATGGAGGAACAAACATAATTTTCGTCGATGTTCAAAACAATCTATTGCATTTTAATGTATTTATCAATTAGCATAAACCTTATTCATATTATAATTATCTATGGAATGTTATTTCATGTATAATCTAGATAAATCATAATAATAGTAGCCGAAAAGAAGAACCTTAAAGTGTAATGCAACATAAAACAAAATTTTGTTCATCAAAAACAGTGATAAACTTGAAACTGATGGAATATGAATTCGTTATATTCATGAGATTAATGGTAATATCAGACGATTAGTGATGCCCTTTTCATTGTAGTCCAAGCATTTTCATTTACATCATAATTCTAGTTTCAAATACAAATAAATTAGACTATGGTATGAACACTATTTACAGTAGGAAAGAAAAAGAATTTTAAAAAATCTAGAATCTATCGATAGGAGTGATTTATGTCCTCATTGATCTCATTAAACATTGAGTGCAGAAATATGAAGCTTGTCAACATGAGGAGTTAGGCATCCTTCATACAGGGCGTTCAGATAAAAGGACTTAGGGGATTGCATCAAAAGTAGACAAATGTGGACATATAGAATGGAGAGATCAAACATTTCTGGACTTTCAGACATTTACTATGAATATTTTTTTGTTTTTTTCACACAATGTTCGACAAAATTATGAAGCTTATTTTGTTTTGAAGAGCATTTTTGAATAGGAAATTAGTTGAACGAATCAGTTGTTGAAATAATTGAAGATTGTACTATGCAAGAAAGAATTAAATAAAGGAAAGCTAAAAACATGTGTTCAAAAATAGATAGAATAAAATAAACTTTCTGTGATTAGCAGCAGTAGCTAAATCGTGTTTTACATTTTAATTGTGCACAGATTATGTTAACAACTTTTTTAATATTCATTTCTATTTTTAATTCACTTAATAAACTTACTTAATAAAAAGGAAGTAGTACATTTGAACAAGTAAGCACTTTCTAGAAAATTAGTTTTTTTTCCTTGTACCGAGTGTTCGGAAGGAAGCAAATGTTGATGGAATTAGACAAGTCTGATTAGATGGTATATTGTCAGAAAATGTAATTTTTACTTCGACGCTCTTTATGCATGAACTTTTATGTAACGATCACAAGTCCATTCAACTTGGTTTTTATTCTTTAGATTAACTTGATTTAAACAAAAATATTTCATTTTAAGACGATTTCTCTATTCTATACGAATATCAATATAAATCAATTGATTAGTAGTGAAAATAATTGTCATGCGAATTACATTTAAAATTTATACTACATTCTATAAGACATTAAATGAATGAGGAAATATCTTATAATGTAAATCTGCTGCTGTTGCTTTACGAAGGCGATGACAATTTAAAACTTACCATAATAAAATTTACAATCATCTTCATCTGACATTTAGAATTTTTACATATTTCAGCTTGATTATTTATTAAATATGTAAGAAAATCAATAGAAATATTTACAATTTATAATTATAAATTCTTTGAATTTGTTATTATATTTCTGTCTACGAAAATATACACGAAAATAAAAATCTACACATCATTATATAGGAACAAACAAAATAAAAAGAAAAAAAGCTCACTGTTATATCATCAGTAGAAATAAAAAGATAAAGTTTAAAACTTCTTATCCCTTTCTTCAAACTATTGTTTCATTCTTCCTGATGAGTACCTCCAGTTGCATTATTATCTGTTCTTTGAGGTGTATTTTGTTCATTTAAAAATGGTGATCGATGTCTTAATGGTAAAAGACTAGGATCATCGTCGTCTTCACTTTCACGCATATTTCCAGCCAATAAACGAAATATACTACGTGGTAAATGTACAATATTACGAATACTACCTCGTCTATAATGTTCTTGTTGTTTTTCTTTATCTTGACTTGCCAATTTTAATACATTATTATCAATACTATATAATTGAAAAACAAAACAAGCAACGCATTTATCAAAACCACTATCTGTACATGAACAATGCCATGATTGACCATTCGGAAATGAGTGATGACATATGTCACAATTGTAACTGGGTGACGAATAAACGGAACCATTTTTACGCTTACGTTTTGTATGATCAGCTTCAATTAATTTATGTCCATGTGGACATTTAAATATTGATGAATTTCGAAGAGTTGATGAACAATTTTTCAATTGTATATCAATCATCTTTGGATAAAGTACTGAATAAAGTGTTGAAACAAGATCATCATATTTAACAGATGTTTTTTTATAAGATTCAACAGATTTTTTATCTATAAATGTTGAACCAAGTAAAGAAACTTCATTACAATGATATCGAGCAAGATGAGTAACAAGTTGTTGAGAATTATATTTTGTTAAATCGTTCTATTTGAAAAAAAAAGATATTTTATTTTTATGATTGAAAAACAAATACTGACATACTTTTTCTCGACAAGTATTATGTGGACAAGTAAATGTGACATTTGAACATCGTTCTAAATGTCTCTCATATTCATTGGGAGCTATACGTTCTGAGCAAGCACATTTAATAGTTAGTTGTTCGAGCAGTTTTTTATGTTTAGAAGATGATTTGAATGAAAAATGTTTTTTACGACATAATGGACAACCATTTGTATAATGATTTAGATCAGCATCTTTTAGACAAAATACTCGATTACAACATGATGTTATTTGTGGATCGTCAGCAATACCTAATATTATATTTATATAATAATATAACAATAATACGGTGTCTTACACAAGCAAATGGGACATGTAAGATCTTCAGTATCCATTGGTGTTTCTTTTTTTGTTTTTGTTCCGTCAAGATGCATCTTCAATCGTATCCAAATGCAAACTGCATTTCTTTTATTATGATCCTATATTGATAAGAAATGAAAATGCAATCATATCGAAAAGTTATATATGAAACTATGCTGATAAGCATCGGCTTTTACCGTTAAAAGAAATATCTTTTAATATATAGACATAAAAATTATTGCGCTCTTTTCTTTGCCTCGATAAACTACGTTTATTAACAACAATCAGTCAATCAGCTGTTTTACACAAACATAGTTCATTGGAGAGAATATTTTACCAATCATGAAGAATCCTCTACATTACAGAGGTCGCAGTTTATCATCAATTAAAAATATTTGTCGGCATAAACAAAAGCCAAAAACAACTTAAAATGAGTAAACAATTTCATATTGATGAATGAATGATACCTAATATTATTTCATTTCAAGTTCATACATGTATCATAATAGTATATATCATAAAGATTTTTTTTCCAACTTTTCTATTTTGTTTTATTATTTACAAAAGGTTAAAAAAAATTGTCGGAAAAAATGTTTGTTTATTATCAGCTGACAAGAGAATCTTGCCATATGACGCAGCACTTGGTCTCTTTTTAATCATGAGTCTCTTATATGCACAGAAAAATTAAGAGATTTATTTTCGCTTTATCTATACATGTGTGTGTAGAATGTGCGTACGCATGATCTTCGACCTTTTGTATAATGTCAATGAAATTCTGTGTTTTTTTTTCGAATGATTTGTTGTTTGGGGCTCACCTTCAAGGCTAAATAGTTAAATTCAAAATTGTATTGTTCACTCTTCAACACAGGATAGTTGATGCTCAATTAAATAAATTATTAGAGAACGTCTTTTTTTCTCATAAAAATCTTTTGTTTTTATATTAATGAGCCATTCGATTTATATAGCAACAAAAACATTATTAGAAAATTATGTCAAAAGAAAATGAAATGCTAATTGACTAAACAACACTAATAAAAATTTGTAAAAAAAAAAACATTGATTCATTTTTAATTCAATTATTCATATATTTTTTCGAGAAATATCAACATAAGTAGAACAAACATTTTGAATAATACAAGGAAAAAAATATTTTAGTTATTTTAATTCAATTGAACACAAGAAATAGCCATTAAGATAAGAAGTATACTAATATTTATCGAATTAACTCCATTACGTTTATCAACAAGAACTTGAATAGAACCAGATTTACTTTGAATAGTATCGATTTCATGTTGTGATCCATCTGGAATAACTGTTGGTGATAAGCCTGAAGCAATATCCGTTAAATTCATATGAGTTTTAATTGTTGTCTGAATACATTGAAAATGAGTTGAAACAGACGGACATACATTAGTAATTGATAATGATGAATCAAGCGGTACCAATTGTTGAAGATTACATGTATCAGCTAATACTTCATTTGATGAATCATCTTCAATAAGTATGTCAACAAAATCAGATGGAATAAATGTTATTGAATCATTTAATGAATCAGGTTCAAGAAAAGCAATTGCTTTGCCCTTGCCAAGAGGAAAAATTTGACAATATGTTTTACCTTCGACTTGGCCTAGAAAAGAAAATTATATAAAAAAAAAAAATATTTCTTAATTTAATCTTACCAGCTTGTGTAATATTAATCAAGCTTGGTACAGCTGGTCCTTTCAAAATACAATCAACTCGAAATGAAACACGAAATGTTGATCCACTTTCATCTTCTAAGGCTTTTCCAGTTGCTTTACCATAAACGACAATCGATGAATTTTCTACTTTCGTTGCAAAATCTATTGTATCTTTTGCGCATTTTCGTTTTAATATTGATTTTCCATCACAAATAGATAATACGATAAGAAGAAATATCGTACTAATAGCATTCATTGTTATCTGGAAAACACGATGTGAATGAAATAATTGATATGAACTTTGTTTGTCTTTATATATATGTGTATATATATTTAGAATGAAACAAGAAAAAATGCACGTCCGATATGCATTTCTTTTTCGTCAACAAAATGGACGACGATGATAGAAGAAATACTTGTCTTCTTAAGAAGTAGATAAGTATGACGAAAGCAATTTCTGAGTACATAAAGTTCGATACATTAAACTAATATTCATCTCAAAATAATAGAAAGAGAAATATTTTCGGAATAGTTTTTGATAGGAACCAGATAGAGATTTGTAATTTTCACCATTTAAAGGAGGCGATAAAACTACATCGAATTAATAATACCGAATCTTTCTGGCAAGTTTTCTCAGTATTTCCTGATAAGTTTTTTGAAAACAGAAAATTTTCTAGTGTAAAAGTTTTGGAACTTTACTTTTGATTAGTGCATCAGAATTATTAACTAGAGCTCAAGCATCTATGTAAGTCCGATGTTAAAAGTTTTAGCCAATCATGAGTTAGTAATATTTTACTAAGTATTTTTGGCAGGTTTTTCACGAAAAATCGACTATTTTGCTGATTTTTTGGTAAAAAAATCCACCTTCTAACCCTATCGAAGAGTCTCGATCTGTTAAAAATCTTGGCAGGAGATCCTGACAAAGCTTGCCAGAAAGATCTGGTTATTGGTAATTCGATACCGTTTCATGGTCTTTTTCAAACGGTGAAAACTGCAGATCTCTCTCTAGTTCCTATTAAAAGTTATTCCAAAAAGACTTATTTTTCGTTTATTTTGGAAATCAATAATAACTTATTGTGTACAAAGTCTTTGCGCAACATGTTTGATCAATTGTTGTCTCATTATAAGACATTGAAGACAAGCAAAATTTCATAATCTTTCTAACTATATATTAAGAAATTAGTTTCTCATTTAATTTTAGTTCATTTCAAATAAATATCTGATGACGGTTAAACCTAACGATTGTACAAAACGCTAATTCAAAAGGTATTGGCAAATATATATGGTCATTTATCGGACATCTGGATGTCATTAACGAAGTCAGTGTAACCAGAATATGATGCCTTTTCCAAATGTATGCTCAGAATTTATTACTGATTTAAAGTTAGTTATGAGCGAATATTAAAATGATTCAAACATGTTGTTTTTAATCACTAAGCAAAACAGACTTATCTTTGTTATTCATAACTTTGCATGAGATTTTAAAATAATTTTGATTTTCAAGTGTTGCACAGTGATTTATTTTCTACTATATCACATACTGTAGTTCACTAGAACTCAAAAGGAATCACAGTCTATATACACTTTTCGAACAGTTACTTGGTGTGTAGAATGTAATGGTTTCGATTGTTTGTAACAAAAATAAAAAAGAGACATAAGTTAATTTGGGAATCTTGTAGCACAAGTCTCACTATACAAGTTAATGTATCAAAGTACTTATAGTTTGAATTGAGATAGTTTTTATCTAAATACAAACCTGAACTACATGAGAAATTATCGACTAACGCTATTTTTGTTTTCTCTCAGAGGTTTGCTCTCAATGAACTAACTTTAGATCAGAATAAAAATTCTGAATACACAGTTGGAAAGAGTATGAAATTCTGATTCTAGCTGATTAATTTTGATTTTCTCCAATGACTTATAAGTGCATGAAAACTGACTACACATGTTGTACAAAGTTATGTTTAACAAAGGTTATAAATATAAAGGTTTTGGAAGACTAACATTTTGAAACACTGGCAAGGAAACATTGGCAACTGATCAGACACTTTTTCAACGAAATCTAGTAGATTCTAAGTCTTCTACCATACTAATTCTTTATACAGCCTCCTGGAACTTCCTGAAATTTTCGCGTGTTGGTTTTCAAGATGAATAAACTTTCTAGAGCATTCGACGTTATACTGAAGACAATAAAATTTTTTACAGCTAATAAAATCATTTTAATTTATTTAACAGTAACGTATCAACCTTTCACTGTGAAAATCTTCAAGTTCATAATATTTTATTTAAAACTCATAGTTGGAAAACAGAAAATATTATCAATTTGGAAGCAACTTGAGATGCTCTATAATCAGAACAGACCAAGAACGATATTGCAAAAAATGTTTGTTGGCTGGAAATGTTCGCTTTCTAAGAAATCAGCATGTTCGATCACGTACAATCCACTAACTTTCAATGAAAAAGTGATTAGTCAGTTGAATGCGTCCCTTTGTAAACTCGTTGAGACTAATAGAACTTTTTAAATCCATCTCATGGATTATCAATGTAAATGACAAAACGAAGTCATTCAGTCAAATGATAATATTATATTTGAATAATTCTTCTCTTTCTTTCTGTATAACACATCTGATCAGTATATTAATTTCTATTTTATCAACGGTTTATTTCTCGAAAGATCAACTACAAATTCATTAAATGATTCTTAATACTCGTCTATAGAAAGAGATCGTAATGAATATTTTACTGAAAAAAAGAATGGAATATCTTTCAATGATTCAATTGATGTATTAATTTTAAACTGTTTCATTAATTATCAGTGAATATGAGCAGTAAAAACCAATAAGAACTAAATCATTTTCTTTATTTTTTGGCTATGTTTGTCTGAAAAAAAAAGAAGATAAATATCTTTTTTTCATTTTACTTATTCTTCTTGTAGTTTTTATTCAATATTTCGCCATTCATATTCACAGTTATTGTTTCCCATTCGAATACATCAATTTCGTTGTATATTATTCCTAATAAAACAAATAATATATTGATTTTTCCTAATTGACATCAAGTTTTATTATTAATAACAAACTGTCCATTTCTTTAACTTTCAAGAACTGCATTTTTATCAAATGCGTCTGTTTTATTTTGTATATTATTTAAACTAGAAAATGAAAGAACACATATTCTAGACATAAGAATTGGTTCGTTTTTAACATGCCATGAATCCTAAAAACAAGCATAATAATAACGTCAAGCTTTTCAAAAAGCTTTTGCATCATTCCAATCATATAATTCAATTCTTTCAGTTTTGTACATTACTTCATATTGAACGAAGTCAATAGAGGAAGCAACAGAGTGAAATGACACTAAAATTTAATTACATTAACAAAAATGTTTGTGAACCAGTCAATTATGTTTTTTCCTAGAATCTTAAGTGTTGTTGTTTTTCCTAAGAAAGTAAAATTTTTTTTTTTCGTTTTTATCACGAGTGTCTGAACCACGAATGGCAATCGTGATGGTTCGATAAAAGTTGAAGATTAAAGTAAAAGATTTTTTCGAAATTATTACCTGTTACTAGTGTCTTTGCTTCTATCCATGATGATTCTCTTTGAGATTCATCTCTAAGAATATTTAATTTTTAAGCTGAAAATCAATAAAAATAACCTTCCCGACCGCCATATGAGAAGTGCTAATCAGACGAAAAATGAGTGTAATTATGACAGAATACTTTTTCTATTTTTGTTATTATTTTTATGTTGATTCTTTTTTCTCATCATTGTTGTACAAGTTGTGTGATAAACAAATAAAAAGTTTATAATCAACTTTTTGAAAGCATTACTAGCGATCGATTTCCATCCAGCACGGGGTATCCAACAAAAGTCATCTGTCGTGTTACTACTACACAATGAAATTATCGCTGATTTTTTTGTCTGCTCGACCGAAAACACGGAAACGTTTATTATATCAAATAAATGTCAATGAAAAACTCTTATTCTACAGAAAAAGATGAAGAATACTAGAAAAAATTATCTGGATTAAACTGATAATAATCATAAATGAAAATCGATTAGCTTGATTTTTTCGTGCTACATCATCCGAAAAAAGCGACTTATGATTTTGACCTTGTAAAAAAGTTAAATTCAAGTTTTGACGTTGATGTTCAGCTAGAAGAAGTGATAATGCTGCAAAATCAATCGTGCTTTTCCCAAACATTATAGAATCCTTTGTTGTTGTCGTCGTCGATAAAACTGTACTAATCGTTGTTGTAATAGAAGTTGTTGATGTTTCTAAAAATATTAAAATCAATTGTTGAAGAAAAGTATTCGATCAACACACACCTAGTGGACAATCAATCGAAACAGCTGATGGGCATTTATTAGTCAATCGTGCTTCAGTATCATTCAATTCCGTGAATGGATACATTCGTGAAAGACCACATGTTTTTTCAAGTAATAAATTTATTTGATTATTATATGAAATCTCATCTAAATCAACTGGTCGATAAGTTCCATCGAAAAATGGTTCAAGAAAAGCAATATATTCTCGATTGACATCAAATCTTTGACACGAGCGACGACCAAGAAGTGAACCTAAAAAGTAATATAACATAAAGAAAAACGATAGCAACATTTATTGTTTTTTCTTATAAACCTGCTTGAACAATACGAATAATACGTTGTGTTGGGGGACCTTTTAAAATACATCGAACTAGAAATGTGACATTAAATAAATTTGGAATATTAATATCAATATTTTTATTTAATGAAGTTCCAATTAGAATTAAAGGTGATTGCTGAACTTTAATGTTAAATGGAGTATCATCTTGATTAGAATGTATATCACAGTCAGATGATGATGTATGACATGAAGTTATGAAAATAAGAATTAGACTGAAGAAGAAACGATGAGTACCCATATTTGTTCTCGAGTAAAATGAATTGATCAAAATGAACGACTTTTTTTCTCTTTTTCTCTTTTTCTCTCTCTTCGTTTTTCCTCTATTATTCTCTTATCTTGAATTACTTCTTTTACCTTCTATGATAAGTGGATCGAATATCGAAAGACGTGATTATGATAAATAAATGTTCAATAATGCTTCTTTCATAAGAGAGCGAAGATATTAGCGGCCAAATGACCTTTGTTAAAGCAAAAAAAAAGAAGAAGGTTATTCGATCCTTCTTCTTTTATCAACTCTTGTCTTGTTCTTGTTCTTGTTCTTTTTATCAAACATCAAATGTACAAAGACAAGTTTTTAACAATCAAAAAGTCTTTTGATGATGTAATCATATCGTCTCTATAACAATTGAAGAAAGATAATTAACAACACTGATCAATATCGACAAAATTCAAGAATTAATGTGGAAACAAAAAATGTCACTGATTTTATAGTTGTTAGTGTTGTTGTTTTATAATAAGCCATATTTCTTTTTTTTTATGCCATAAAATAAAGCATCTAGAAACAATGATATTGAATAATTTATGAAAAATCAGAATATGTTCTCTTTTTTCTTTATTTGCTCAAAAGTTTCCATTGTGGTTCGAAAAACTTCTTTTATTGTCTACATTTTTCTAAGGTTACTTTTTTTAAACGAAATCATTGTTTATTTTTTCAAAGCTTCTATGTAATAAAACGAATTTAATTGTATCTGTTGAAGAAAAAAATATGCTGGAATGAGGTATGATTTGTATATTCCAGTCGAGTACTGCACGATTACAAATTTCGGTACTGGCATTCAACCTTTACAAAAAATTTTTACTCATATCAGTCATGCCCTTGATGATTCGTACCTTTATTCTTCTCATCCATGTATCTGACAAATATGTATCCACATCCAGATGCAAGTACTCGACTCGTGGATTGCAGAACTCTATATTTTGTGATAGAAATTTCCATGTGATACAAAAAATTTCAGAGGGGATTCGATACTAGAAAATAGTACGCATATGACAGTCATGGTATAAGATTCATAGATTAATAAAATTAGTTCTTCAAGATAATACGAAGTTGCACATACAAAAAGTTGAGAAGCACTAATGCATTTGTCTTTGATGAAGCTTTTAGTGAAGGAATATTATCATAGATTGTCTTAGTGAAAGTACAAATATTTTCTTTTGAGAGATATATCTTATGTATGGCTATTCTACACGAATTTTATTCGTGATAACCTCAATACTGAGATTTATTATCACAAAAACAATAACATATAAAGATATATTTTTCTTGGAAGTTTCATTCAGAACAAATTTAATTTAATGCAAATGAAAGTGATTCTTAATAAGAATTGATACTACAGTTTTATGCTTATTATTCAGCATTAATTTCCATAATTGAAACATTAAAAAGATGATAGATTTTAACAAGCGTGTAGTATAGTTTTCTTATCGACTGGATGAAACAACATCGGAAACAAAGAGAAAAAGTGAGACTTCAAGAGTGCGTACTCCACTGTACTTCGGCAGTAACTCAACAGTATTTAATTAGTAACTTATGTGCATTACTAAGGATGACACTTTAAATTTACTCCAAAGTTAAAGTTCGGGCGCTGTAACTTTACTTAAACTGTAAAATAAACTGGAAGAAAGTATTTCCCTACCTTTAACTTTAGAAAAATCAAAGTCAAAGCAGAGGCTTTTTTTACTAACAAAGAGTTTTTTTGAGTATAGTAGTAACTTTCTATAAAATTGGACCATAGGAAATCAGGGTTACGAAATCCAAATCTGCAGTATGGTTACTCGAAATTTCGTACTTAATTGTTTACTGAAAAAGAAAATTCGTTCTAAAAATCTTTTTATGGCAAAAATAATTTTAAGAAAAAAGTCACTTTTTCCTTAAAAATAATATTTAACGAAAAATGTGATTTTATTTTGTTTTGTTATCCAAAAATTTTCATTGAACTTGAATAGTCTTAATCATGTGCGTATTGATTACTCCAATTTCAATGATAAATATCAAGATATCAAAGAATGCCATCGTCATATCATGAGTGAATACCATGATGATATGTGAGTTTGTAACAGAGAGCGAAACCGAATCGAATTACTCAACAGTTCGATTCGATTCGATCGGATACGCCTCGGGCGAATTGCATTGAATCCAAAGAAAATTTTCTTTTCCATTTCAGTCTTCGGTTTGTGCTGTTATGTTTGGTTCTTTACTTATTATGAAAGATCTAACTGCTTTTACTTACGACAATGAAAATTTATTTATTTTTTGATTTACGGTATGAATGTCAGTATGTCTATAGATCGAGTAAAGAGCCATACTCACACAATTCCGATCAACACTCACACCAACATTCACACTCGCAAGAAACCTGACTGACAGCATCTATGGACTATTATTTATTATAAGGACTAATTAGTAACAAATGCAAATATTTTTTTCACTAAAAAAACCATAGTAAAACGGTTAAGGATTCCGGAACAATTGTTCGGTGAGTGGAAAGTAGTATACCGTTGAAGAGAGAAGCAAGAGTCGTACGAAAAATTCTTTCCTTTGCGGTTTTCAAATAGGATCAATTCCGGAACTAACTGTGTTACATGCTTTTATTGCTTAGAATTGATCTTTTTCTGAGAAGAATCACTCTGCAATTCTAGGATAATGCCATATTTCAATAAACAGATATATATAGACTCTTCTATGCTTTATTTTTTTATCAGTTGACTGTTTCCCATTCATTCAGTTATCCACTTTGACCACATACTTTGTTCAACCCTAGTCAAAGCTGAATTAGATAAACAAAATTTTACCTGGTAAAATATGAATAGAGTTAGTCATCAATAACTTCAATAGTACAAGTTATTCTTCATTCAGTATAAATTTTCGCTCATGATAGCTCCGCGTTTCTAATAAATCTGTAGTTTTTCATATTGAAATTTAGGTTTTATTGTACTAGCTAACTTAGAATAAGTTCAACTTGAAGAATTTGTTAAAATTAAGAACACATAACCTCAAAAACTTCCAATCGTTCACTGCTAGCTTTAGTCTCTGTTGTTCATTCATCGTCCTTGGTATTATAGTTCTGTTTCATGTGGTTGAATGTACGTGTTAGTTGTGCGACGTTCCACCCAATGCTTGAGTCATATGACCCAGGAGGACAACTTCCGACATTGTAGCTGAGTTTTGTCTTGTCAAAAGTTATGACTGGGGCAAGAATAGTCATAGGAATCAAATCGCCAGTATGCTCAACATCCCATTTAGGTGAATTTATGGTTTCAAAGTTTTGAGGCCCAAATATCTCACCGACAGATTTAATCATCATTGTCAGAGTTTTGGTCACCAGAGAGATCATTTCGTCTGTATGACGAAGATGTAAGTCTGGATATTTGGCCATGATTTCGGCGCCTTGTGTATCGGTGTATTGACCTAAGTCAAGATACCAAATATTGAACTGATTGAGTGAAACGTCAACGTTATATGAGCCTCCTTGATGAGCACGTTTATGTAGGGCTTGTACAATAGCAATTGCACCAACTATTCCAGTTTGATAATCAGAATTTGGAAGAAGTGGTAAGACGGGTTCATTGAGACCTAAAAATTTTCCTTGTAACCAAGCAACACCAGTCACGCAATCACTGATCTGTTGCCAGCCAGAACGTAGAGACCATGGACCAGCCCAACCGTAACAATTCTCACGAGCATAAACAATGCCTTTACCTAGAATATTTCGCGGAATCTTTACATCCGTCCGACAAAAAACTACGTTATATCGCACTAAATCGTTCAATAATTACGGAAATTTAAACATGAATAATCAAAATCAAAGTTCGAATATAAAATATTCAACTGCAATGTTGGCTAGTCATGAAGCATTTTTTTAAAATAATCTCTTTTTCGTTCCTTTTTGGATTCTCACCCGGCAATAAGAGGACTGTTTTGCCATTGGAAGTTCTATGACATCGTAGGAAGACATCTCAAAATAAGTTTTTTAATTGACTGAGCATGTTTGTGAATGCTCACATTATTGCGACTGAATTATTTTTTTTAATAGACGAAATTCTGTTCTTGACTTTTACAAATTCAATTTAATTCTTTATGTTACGAGATGGAAAGCTTTTTTTCAGCAAAAGTAACTCTGTCGGTTTGAGTACAACGTCAACAAGTAGATGTAAACGTTATAAATGTTTGTTCATTGATGTTAATTTTTATATATTATTTTTCTTTTTTTATGAGCAGAAACTAAAAATTGTTTTTTTGGACGCTCTCTCATTATACAAGATAGGACTCTAAGTAATATAACTCATGAATTTCAAAATTTACCTGAATAAAATACTAAAGAGCATCCAATATGACTTATAGTAGGGTTCATCACAATTTTCTGCTTAGTTTCTTTTCATTCAACTGCCCGTCGAAAATAAAGTATTATTATCTTGCGAAGAACAATGTAAAAAAAAAGGGTCACTGTTTTTTTGTCAACTCAATGAAAGCTAGTAAGAAGTTTCAAATCGATTAGACATATTCAATTGTAAGTACCGTTCAGGAACAATAATTTGAAACTAAAAGTACATATTTAGACACAGAAAACATTATGTAAGTGTTCTAAAGTACTCGGAAATATTTGATATGCAGTATATCAAATTAAAATTTTGTTGTTTTATCAAAATAATAAGTGTTCAAAGTTCTACACACTTTGGATTTTTTCCCATTATAACGTGGGATAATTATTCTACACACAATACAGAAAAACTAATATGACATATATCTCACCTCTTTTTAGAGCCATTTCGTGAACAGCTTGTCGACCAAATCCTAATCTTTCCATGCAGCCAGGTCGATAGCCATCTAAAATGACATCTGCTTCAGCCAATATGTGCGCCATCTCTTTTTTTCCTTCTGGTGTTTTCAAATTGATCCGCATATCGTATTTTCCCAAGTTTGTCTCAAGTAGAAGTACACCAAATTCTGGCTCCACATTATTTGACACACGAATTACAGTGGCACCTAAGGAAGCAAGTATTCTAGTTATTGTAGGTGCCGCAATCACCCGAGAAATGTCTACTATTTTGATCCCTGCAAGTGGTCGCAAATTTTGATCTGTCAACGTTGGCCATGGAATGACTGGGAGCTTCTCATTGTTCACAGCATCCAATGTCCAAAGACCCTGGGTCTTGGCTGCTTTCCCGTGTTCTGTCTGAAAAAACTCCTCTGGTGTATAGCAAATGGTTCCTGATTGTCTATATTCTTCGTTGGCTACAGTGTCCAACCAATCTGCATCGTATTTAGCCACTTTATTGGCAAAGAATTCCACGATTTCTTCACGATCTGCCGTGTTAAGCTGAGGATGATCCGGGGGTAATCCTAAAAAGTCAATCGCTATAGGTAAAAATCAGAACCTATGTTCTTTCATAGTACCTAACATGGCCAATGTTTTATCGGCATTCATGGATCCATGAAGATGAAAGTACCGGTTGTCTTTTGTTCTGTAAATGTTCGTAGCAAGCTGTCTATAAGGAATATATGTTCTTCCCAAATCGAGTTCTTTAATTTTTTTACGAATGCCATCTGGAAGTTCGGCAAAAGTCTTTCCTGAGACTTTCAGAAGCAATACGCTTGTAGAAGCAAGAGTAGCTCGATCGGTATCGATAGTGCACTTTTGAAGTGGCAAATCATATCGTTCAGCACACACCAATGAAGTGTAACATGCCAAAAGACCGTACAAAGCAGCTGAAGACTCAGTTATTTTACAAGGTGTAGGCATGAATGGATCAGACAAACCAGCTGGACTACTGAAAGTCACATTCTTCGCTGCTTCAGTGATGTCTTCAGGATGTTGTAACCTTTTGTCCGAAAGAAGAACGTTTAGAAGAATTCTTTGTGATTCGCTCTGAATTGTGTATGGCATTGTCATATTCGAGTCTCAACGCCAGTAAAAAGTTTATCACTGGTCGAAATATTTCTGAAACCGTAACAGCTAAAAAGTTGAGAAATAAAAAAACCCCGAGAAAAGAGTGTTGGCGTAGCTCTTGATAGGACTAAAATGTCGAACTAGTGTAAGAACGCCATCTCAACAAAGAAGAACGAGAATAAACATGTACGAAATGAAAATAAAACTTAAGATAATCAATCCACTCGAAAAAAAACAAAAGTTTTCTGAACGAATTCGCTTCTCATTAACCGCTGCGTATCGCCATCGCCCCATCTATGTACGAATATGCCTTTATTCGTATACTAGTATGTCTGTAAATCTATGTCTACACTTCTATCTTACTATGCCTATATCTGACTTTGTGCACTAATAAGTCTACACCTCTTCGTGAACATCACTATGCTTTTCCACTATATTGATTCCTCCGTATGTATCTGTGCATCATTTTCATCGTTTATTTTGTTTCTATCGCTATCTGTATCCATTAATCTGTGTATAGACCTCTTACATCTGTCCTTTCAAGACCATCCTTTCATACTTATTCGTATATTCTAAATTCTAAATTCTAGCTCCTCATGTTCTTTATTGTTATTGTTATGTCAGTGTTCTTCAGCTTTTGTCGCTAGCTGGCGTCGAATATTCATATATGCGTGCTTTCAACTGCTTAATAAAAAGCAAAGTTGATTATTCACAGACGGACGTATCTATTCGAAATAGACAAGCGAATGCTAAGTTCCGATAGAAAAATCAACTCTTGAGGTTTGTTGTGCAGTTGAGAACAAAAATGTATAACGCCTCATATCAACATATTCTTGGGTTTTCGAAATTCATACATATAGTTTGAATGAAATGTTAACACTGAATCGTTTAGTCATATTTCCAATCCATTCGACAAAGTTATGAGCCATATCATCGCTTTCATTTTGCTATGGTGTACTAGACTAGAGCATGCATTTTCACATCGATTCTTATCAGAATAATTCTGTCAAGAACTTTTATTAGTGTGTTCTATTCCTCACTTCATTGGATGTGACTAGTAAATTGACTGAAAATTCGGTTGTGGTTGCCGGCTTACTGATGGATAGAGATCCATCAGTTTTAATGTATTTAGATTTTTACATATCAATTGATAACATTCTTTAAAGGCTCATAAGTTGTTTGATTACCAGATTGAAACATCAGTAGCTAATCAATAAATCTCAATTATACTGTTTCAAAAACATGATGTAGGACATTTTTGATCGATATGAGGCTTTCATCAATTATTCAATTGCTGCATTACTTAGTGTTGCACTTTTGAAACTTAAAATTTGCTTTCCACGATCCAAATGATATTTTGAAGAGAATGGTCTTTTCATCAATCCATTTAAGGGACGAGTAATGACTTGTTTTGACGAAAATAAAAGTTCCTGAAAATATTCGAAACATATATATATATATAATATGAACTCAGCTTTCGATTTTGATTTCAAATATGTTATTGATATGAGCCTGTGTTAGTCTGTCAGCTAACAAAAACACTTCTTATCTTTATTTTCTATCTTCGTGTTCACAACTACTACTCTTCATTAACAATAACAAAACAACAACTCCATATAGTCACACATAACGTAACACATAAGTCGATCTAGTGACCAATAGAGAGATAAAAGAAAAAAGAAGAGAGGTAGTGGTGAGAGATAGCGCCACTACCTAACAGCCTGAGCCTTACTTTTTTCTGTGAGGAACTAGGAAATGTTCACCAAAAAAGTTCTAAATCATGTTTCGGGAACAATATCATTTAGATTTGTTAACTAGCCACTGATTTTTCAGTCTGGTAATCAAACAGCTTATTAGCCTTTGGAAAATGGTATTGGTTGATGTATAAAGATCTATATGCATCAAAATTTACGGGTCTCTATTCATCAGTAAGCCAACAACCATAGCCGAATTATCAATCAAACTACCGGCGACTCTCAATAAAGTGACGAATAGAATATACTAATAAAGGTTCTTGACACAATTATTCTTATAAGAACCGATGCGTAAATGCATGTTTTATTCGACGAAACCATTGCAAAACGAAGGCGATGTCTATATGTAAAGAAGTCGAGGAGATATTATGACGACACCAATTACGATAAATGAAGGGTAGTATTTTGAGTCATAATGGTTTTTAACTGATCGAATAGGCTGAGAAATATAACCAAGCGATTCAGCATTTAACTTCCAGTCGCAATATATATATATAGTATATACATATATTCGATGCATGTGAGCGATATATGGTGACAAAAAATGACATAGCAACTACACTGTTTGGTTGTTTATGTAGATTGCAAAACTGTACACGCAACGAAGAAGAGCAATGTATACAAGGAAATTTAAAACAAACACGTGAGTGAGCAACAATATCGCTCTTTTGCCTTCGTATGAAGAATATATATCGTCAATATAATATAGATTGAAAACTTGATCGCGCAATATGTAATGGCCGAATATGAAGTGTTCATTGATGTAACTCACATCCATACACACAACCACATCCTAAAATTTCGGGGATAAGGACTAAAGAAATGTGAGCCTGTTCTATCTTATCATTTATATATGCACACATATTGATATAGGAGTTAGAAAAAAAAATAAGTGAACAATAGGAAAAGAAAGACAACTAGAGGACGGAAAGAAAAGCTGCATACGATTGCATTTTCGGTTGATAAAAAGGTACAGAATAATTTTTTTCGACCCGTACTTTTAGTAATATACTTTGGATGGCTAGAATCATTTTTTTTCTTTAGACATGTTGTTTTAAGAAGTACTCTCTTTTATTAGTGCAAATAATTTTTTATGAACGCTGTACACTAAAACATTGACATAAAATAGTGTTTCTAAGGTGTGTTTTTGTACATTTGTCTTCATAAACCAAAAGAAATATTGAATTCCGGCATATAAGAAATAATCAAACATACAACCTGAGATCATATGCAACTATATATTAAAGCGTCTAAAGGGCTTTTCTTTTGTCAACACTTTAATCATATCAGATACAACATGTAAGGGCATGGGTTGTCAACTAATTTAGTTTTAAAACATGAATAACCTTTTCAGATAGCCTGCTAGATCTAAAAAAAGAAAGAAAACTCCTTCCTCTGTAATATTATTCTGTCACCAACTTCAAAGATTAGTTTACATTTTTTTGAAGCAAATACCAAAGTGAAAGTGTCAGTGAGTCGAATGACTTATTTCCTCGAACCATGACATGTTTTTTTCGCGTGAAGTTCTTGCTGGGGCCCACTAAGTAGAGGAAAAAAATTGCCTACGACTTAAACGTAAAGCTACCCGTTCTAGTACGGTAAACTATTCCATTAGTTAAAAAAAACTTGTTCAATTTATTAATGACTGAATGCCTCATATGTACCATTGAGATTGTCGTTCCTCTATAATCAATCATAACATTCTTTCACACAATGGTCTATTTGATTTTAATTTTGATTCTGAAAAAAATCTTTTCGATTTGAAACTGAAATGAGTCTTTGGAGTCATCAGAGTTACATTGTAATATGTAACATATACCATTTTATTTATGATAATGCGGGGAGAATCTTTGGAGGTCTTTGAGGAACGTTAGAAAATAATGCGTAAGGTGTTGCATATATTCTTTTATGCTCAGTAATAGGGAGTCTAAAGGTCCCATTGAATTTTCTAACACGCCCTTACGTTCTTAATGACTATTGGAGAACAATGTCGAGGGTGCGGGTGTATCTTCTCTTTCCTACACCCATACCTCACACTCATAAAGAACATGAGAAATTCCGTATTCATCAGTAAGAAGTCTGAATATTTCACACCGATCTCCGATTCATCCACAATATAGATGCCAATTTGATGGAAGATCTACAGCGTCGCATGGTTTGGTAACCTTATTGAGATGTTGCTTACAGACCATCTAACAAAGCAAATTTCAACTATGGACATCAATAATCGTAATTTTAAAGAACTTTGGATCACAGCATTTCAGCATAACATCAGTTATACGACATCAGCAGAGAGAACGACATACTTTCTTTATCAATTTTTATCTTCGTTACTCTATTCAGGTAAACTTCAATATAACGATTGTAATCTTCCTTTCGTCTATGAAGGAATGGAACAGTTTGTAGTACATAATTGAAAGATTCGTTATGATGACTGAAAACAGCTGTCAGATTTAGAAATAATCGCCACGTATGTTCAGTTTTGGTGCATGCATCTTGATAATAGAATCAGTTGATGATGGACTTCTCGCCAAGCCTTTCAAATAGTATGAATGTTGTACTGTGACGAAGTTACATTATTTTACAATTATTAAGATTTTCTTTTTTACCATCATATTTGTATTTGTTTTTATATTCAAGTATTTCCACTTTGTACTATCGAATATATTATCACACAGAATACAGATTCACTGGTAACAAACGAAGAAAGCGATGATTAAAGCTTTACTGTTGTTGATATTTTAGCTAATAAATGACTCAGTTCCGAGATAAAACATCATGTTTTCTTCTGTGCACGAATATCTATAAAACTTTTATACGACTATTAAAATATGCTATCGTGGAAATAAATATGAAAGAGCAATGTTTGTTCTTCCGCACAGTGTTGCAAAGTGACGGTCGAAAATAACTATAGTAGCTAAGCAAAAAGAGTTCATAGAAAATTAAATCAATTCTCAAAAATGTGATTAACAAATGTTAAGTGCTTATATCATAAAAAAAATCTCCATCCTAACATACATTTGCAATAGTCTCCCATTTTACATACAGTGTCCTAATGATACACAAGAAAAAACACATGAAATCACTATACTGAGTTTGTTTACACAAAGAAATTCTTTAGTCTTTGTTCTGCCTTTTTGTTCATTTTTTTCACAAATATCCATATTTACTTATATTTGATTTTGTTGCTGCTATTTCTGTCATTAAAATTACTATTGTCGATGACTGGTATTAACATGGCAGAAGCTCTTTCATTTATTATTATTTTCATATCTTTGAAGTTTTTTTTATTAATATCTAACTGAGGCATGAAAAATCCTATTAGAAGAAGGTTGCAGTATACAATATTGTAAAGCTGTGGAATCAAATTTTTATTTATTTGTTAAATGTATATATTGGCTATCTAATAGTATGTACCCATTAATATTTCCAATTTTAATATAATAAATTTCTTTTTAGTTGTCTACTTTTCAAATGTCTCATTTGTTGATGCATTCGAACATTTGCTTAATTAAGACTAAATAAATACATTTCTTTATTTTCGGAATCAAGTCTTATCTTCACTAGAAAACTTAGAGTTGACTTAGGTAATCTGAGTTGTGTTTCTACTTAACAACACCATTTTAATTGACCTTACCTACACTAGAAAAATAATTCAGTATTATTTTCGAATTAAATCTATGTCTACACGCATGAGTTTAATGCATCAATTAGAGCTTAGAAATAAACACTATAATATAGTCGAAGCACATAATGCTAGTATGTTTTCATGAAATAAAATACTGCTTCTGTTTCGATTTGATAATTAATGATTGACTAATAAAATTTGTTAATAAAATATTTATCATTCTAACTTATTTCTTTCAACAACAGATTCGTTAGATATTGTAGTATTGTGTATTCTTATCCTTCAGTTCCTATTCACTTATATTCTACAATTCATCATATTGAAAATATCTATCGTTCGATAATACTAAGCAACTTTATTGAGACACTTTCATCATTTAAATTAGTGGATGACGTTCTTTCTCGATAGGTGCTTTGAATTTAATTCAGTCTTTGAAAGATGTATTAAGTATGAAATAACTTGTCGACCAACCACGTTTCTTAATGCAGCACTAACCATCCTAATGTAGACAACGTCGTTACTTTATTCGAGATTAAATTTTCCACTGAAGACAAGACCTCAATCAAACAATATACTAACACAACTATTATAATGATGAACTAAGATAAATATGATAAGCGGTACTGTGTATCAGATCATACATTCTTTTTTCTCCTCATCCTCTCTTACTTAGTCGCACATGGTAATATATATTAATTCATGCTTGTCGTTGCTTGCTTTCTAACATAAACCTTAACATGCTTTTCTTTAACTTAACTTATTGTTAATTTAATTTTTTGTAGATGTAATTATATAAGTATATGTAAACAATTTATTTTATCTGCATTGACTAACGATTATTATGTTTTTTTGCAAGTATTAAAAGCATCAGATTTTGTGCCTATGGTGAAAGAGGGTTCTAAGTAAATGCATGGTCATAAACTGTAAAATATTTTATTATATAATTTTAGACATAAAAAGCAGAAAATCATCTTCAGAATCTGAAAATTCGATCATGAATAATATTTATTAAATTTCAAACATCAACTTAAACTTTGTAATGCTCATATATTGACGAAGCAGTTTATCGAAATATTTATACATGTAAAAAAATATATGAAACCATCATAACAAATTTTGGTCTCGAAAAAAACCTCTTGTATCATTATCAACATTCGAAATAAAAGTTGATTTAACTCAAGAAAATTGATGTGATGAACAATAAATGGACTCTTCATTTTTATGAATAGCTACTGAAAGTAAGTTATTTAGTTATCATGAATTCTTATACAGTTTAGTTACATAAACTTGTTTTATAGTTTGTGATCCATCAACAAATTAATCTAATGTTGCGAAAACATTTCAATACATAAAATCTAACGGCGTGGTTTATTATAATCAACCATCTGACCAGACATGGCCTTAAAACATGAAATTGAATCTGAAATAACTATAATAATTTAAGCAAGAGTTGCTGTATGAAATTGTTCAATTTATACTTAACTAATAGAAACAGCAGCTATAGTATTATTAACATGTTCGATAGGTGAACAAAGATAAAATTTTTCTGTGATACTAGTATTAGTGGTGGAAAAAAAATCTGTGAAACTCAACTTTGCAATAGATATGAAACAATGGCTATACATTTACGATTTAAATATGATTTACATTATTGAGCAAAACCTATTGATGCGATCATTTTATCAAAACTTCAAACATCGACATATGAAGATATTGATATTTGTAATGCAATTAATATTAACATAATCGTTGGTACATATATTTTGATTTTTAAAAATTCATATGATTTATTTCTTTTTGTTATTTAGATTTTTGATGATTATGAACGAGCTATAAAATAAATTTTATATTAGTATATAGGACGATATTACTTATGATACAATTCATATGAAATAATAGTATTTACGTATTACTCAAAAAAAAAAATGGAATATCTTATTAGTTAGCAAATCACCATATACAGTTTTAAGTATTGATAAAATTATTTGTATTCAACTAACAGATGGCCTAACATCAAAAAAAAAAAATAATCATGATTAATTAAAATGAAACTTTTTAAAAACATAATTCATCTGTGAGATGTTTTTCATTTTATTATTTTTTTTCTAGAAAGTAGTTTTTATACATCAACGCAATAGAAATATTTTATCAATAGCTTCAGGTAAAAAAAAACGAAAGAAAACCGCTCTTAGGATTATAAAAATACATGAAAAATCAACTTTTATCGAATATCGAATTTCGACTATACTCAAACTAGTATCATATTTAAATAAAGATTTCCTTCATACTGATTTAGAATAAAATCAAGAAACCAATGTCGTCTATTCATACTACAACTGATGAAGAAGAACCTATAGTAACATGTAGTGAATTACTTGAACAAATCGAAGATGAAGAAGACGAATTAGATCGTGAACGAGCACTCTATGGAAATTGTGATGTTGATACATGTACATATTCACAAGTACATCAGCAACAGTCATTTTAATTCAAACAAAAAAAAATGATTTATTTATTTGAGGGATATGTTCGACGACAACCTTTATTTGCTTGTATGACATGTAATAATAATGGAGAATTAAGTGGTGTTTGTGCAGCATGTGCATATCATTGTCATGCCAATCATGACGTAAATGAATTGTATACAAAAAGGTAGCGATTTGGAATTTTTTGAAATAAAAATATTTTAAAAAATTATTTTTTAAAGATTTTTTCGATGTGATTGTGGAAATTCTAAATTAACTCATCAACCATGTAAATTATATCCAGTAAGAAAAATTTATTTTATTTTCATTGATATTTTAATAAATTTTCTAGAATAAAGATGCAGAAAATATTTTGAATAAATATAACGATAATTTTCGTGGAATTTATTGTACATGTAAACGTTCGTATCCAGATAAAGAAAAAGAAGTTAGTATTTTTTTTAATTTACAAAGGACACTTCAAGAGTTTTTCATCAGTCCTTTACACAATCATTCAAAATTTGCTTCGAGTATTGTTTTCCAAAGTATTGCTGTGTATTTGATTAGATCAGATCACGCAAATTCTTTCTGGAATAGTGTTAAAGTTTGAAATGCTTGTACTAGGATGATGAATTTGTTTGTTAAACCTTTATTTTCAATGATTCTTGGCTGTTTATAGATTACTTTGTAACGTTTCAACGTTTGATTATTCTATCATATTGTTCTCTTCATAAAACTATGATTTTTTACTAGTAACAATGTAGAATATCATGTGAAGATAGGTCCTTCCAAATTGTTTCAGTAAATGCTGACCCAATTGAATTTGAAACTGTTTTCAGGCATAAATGAATTGATAATGCACTTAGCGAGCATAAAATAATGCTGAACTTAAAACAAACAAGAATAATTGAAATAACCTTTGAGGAAATGATGCTCAGAGTGCCATCCATTCGTTGGTATAGTCCATGAGAATCAACTTCAACTGTTGCTAGAACAACGTTAAAATTTTCTGTGGTCATAGCGATTAAAAAACAATCTGAATGTGTGAAATACCCTCATGTTCATAGTTAATAGGCATGGCTTTCATTGTAAATTATATCGGTGTAATAGTTATATTAAATTATGCTATTCAAATATTACCATAAAAATTCGAATTCATGAAAAAAACATGCTAGAACACTTGTCGGAAAGAAATTCAGAAAAACACGAAGCACGAAACTTCAAAGTTTGACATCTCTCATATAATCCTCAACGTGATTAAGTGTTATAAAAGAATAGTTACACTCAAATTACGGCCTTTACGAGAAAAACTTTTGACATATCCTATGTGGAATATTGTTTTGTTATTATGATAGACAAATGATGATGAAATGATACAATGTATAATCTGTGAAGATTGGTTTCATAGTCAAGTAAAATTCGTTATATTCAGCTGTGGTTTTCTATATTTTACTGAATATACTTTTTTAGCATTTGGGTGTTCCATTACCAATGGAAGAAAATGACATTAATCAAATGGATATGATATGTCAAGCATGTATAGCTAAATATAAATTCTTAGCTAATTATGATGGTTCGAAAGAATAGAAAGATATTTCTTTACTTTTTTTATTTTTATTTGAGTTTAGAATCTCGTGGTATTACTCTACAACCATCAATAGATAATAATGCAGCAGGTGAGAATTTTCATCTAATCATTCTTGTTTTTTAACAATTGATTTCTTGATGTACTTAGCTGCTAGTAATAATCTATCATGTCTTCTTCCTTCAAATGCTAATACTGAAGTTCATACAATATTTTTACGAGATGGTTGGAGAAAAAGATTATGTCGTTGTATTCAATGTTCTGTATGTTTCAGTAATTAAAGATTTGAAATCGAAATTCTTCGTCTTTTTTAATTATTATTATTAGAAATTATATGATGAATTAAATTTAACACCAATATTTGATGATGATGATGCTATACAAGAATATGAAAAACAAGCATTAGCTAAAAGTGAAAATCTTGATGCTGATAAAATCATAGCTGATTCATTAGAAAATCTTGGTTATGTACGAAAACTTGAAGTTTTACATGATATAAATGAATTTAAAAAATCTCTTGGTGATTTTCTTCGTGAAAAGGCTGATAGTGATGGTGTATTAACAGCTGAAGATGTAACAACATTTTTTGCTAATTTAAAAGACAAACGTAAAGAACAACAACGAACAACATTCATACCTCCTGATAATTGTAAATTCTAAAAAGCTCTCTCTTTATTGATATATTAGAAATAAATATGAAAGTATTTTGAAAAGAAAGATTTTTTAAACGTACCAAGTACGAACAATAGTTATTTCAAATCATATAATACTATATAAAGATACATCTTTTAATGTACAATTGTATTTCAATCAACTTTTTTTTTTATTGATCGTATTATTCGATCAATCATTCTGAGTGTATAAGTGAATTTCAACTTTGTTTGTACTGTTACTAAGGAGCTGTAGGTCTGGTGCAAAAAAAAATGTAGTCCGCAGCTTCACATTGGTAAGTGTCAACTAATATTGAAAACTTTTTAGGTCAGATTTTTAAAACCGATATCATTAATTGTTTTGAATGTTCGACAGTCAAATACTAAGAATTCAATATACGCAAATTTTATTGTCTACTAAACTCGATTTAGAATAGTTGTTCCATTTTTTGAAGAAGTATAAAAGAGATTGATACTTATTTGAGCACTAGAAATCCTCTTTTTCTATTTCGACAATAACTATGAATATGCGTAGATAGTGAACTAGTGTCAGAAAATGATTTATAATTAAGTAAATCTTTTCATTAATTGCATAGAATATATTCTTGTTTGATCTTGCTTCCATACATTCAGCGTTGAATAATTGAAAAGTGAAAGACAAGAAATAGCTGTACATTGCCTTCTTTTTCGGCAGAAGAAATACTTGAGAGAACAATCCAATCGATTGTACTCTTGAACTTAGCAGTCACAAACAATTGTGCAACATTGAATCCTATATTCGTGCATGTGAGAATGACTGATCCATACATTAAATCTTGCTTTGAAAAACATCAATATATTTTATTGTCATGAACGATAACATTAGAAACCTCGAAAAGATTATAGAAGTGACAAGCACATAATTTTCTATTTACTTATATCTTACATTGATCTTCAAGAGCAACGGCTTATAAAAACTGATAGATGCCTGAAGAACATCAAAACGCGCAGTTAGACGTTTGAGTAGGCATTCATGTTTTAAATTTCGCTTCAACAAAAAAAAATTGATTTGAAAAAACAAGCGAAACACTTTTGTACAGTAAAAAAATTCTCCATTGACTGACTTTTTGAAAGTTCAGACCTCGAAATAGAAAATAATATATTCTCATTCAACCTACTCCACTCCTTTATGTATCTAGAAGATTAATTTTTGTTACCATCTATTATTAATACATGTCGTATAATCAATTTCTTCTTTTCTCCTGCAGATTTTGAAGTTAGCAAAATTGGAGAAAACGGTGTGCACTTGGCGAATATACGACTGATTGGCATTTTTTTTAGCATGGTTTCCTTTTTGGATAACTTTTTCATACTCTCATATGCGCAGTACGGTTGATTTTCTGCCACGCAAGAGTAAAAAAAAAGCCTGAGATCAAACCATCGGCATACTATTGAATGAGAGCAACTGCATGGGGAACAAGCCGATTAAGTCGTAGAGAGAAATGTTTTATTTCTCGTTTATTAAAGCTATGAAAAAAAAAGTAAAAAAAATTGATTAACGTGTCAACAGTCACATGAAATGTTTCATTTTTCTTGATCTATACCTCTCTTACGTTGTTGTAATTTGAGATGAAACTTTGATCAATTTATCAATTCATTGTAATCAACCATCATTAAAAATAGCACTCTGAAAAAATCTCTGGTTCGCGAGAAAAACAAAAATAATCTTAATACGTCTGAATAGAATAGAATGTACGTGTATTACTTGATAGTTAAGGTCAACGCAAATATGCTATATATATTAGTTCTGTTCTTATCTTAGATATTATGAAAATAACTGCGATCTTATTCTAAATTGCGTCTTATGAATACCATTTTGCGCATGTGATAGGATAGAGAATGTCTAATAAGTATTGATTTCCTGCAAATAATATTCTTTTCCTTTATGATTTTCAGTAGAATAGGCTGATATTTACAGCACATATTCTAGACTTTTAAATCTATTCTAGGCTAGAATTTGAATTGTCTCTTTCCTATAGTAATAAAGGTACAAGTAGCATCAAATTCATAGGAATTTTTATAATTATTCTGACGAACAGCAATCTCTTCTACATTTTCTTCATCTGTCATTTTTGTAAACTACTAACTTGGTACCATTTTTTTACAAGAATCGACATAGCAAATATCGAACAACAGTTGTAATGAATACTATCAAGTCTTTATTTGACAAGCGTATGAATCCTGAAGTTAATCATGCAAAAGGAGGAAAATTGAGAAGAGAAAAATTTGAAAATGAATTAGAATTGGATAATGTTGATCACAATAAAATACGGGTAAAGAATACAGAAATAACCGAGTCAATTGAAGCAAATGCTAAGACAAAATGTAGAACAGATACGTGAACCTTGACGCAGGCTTCTCTTCTTGTTTCGTTTAAATCACTGCGTTTTTTTTTGTCTAACCGCTCTAATAAAACGGCGAAAAAATCCTTATAAATAACGCAAAAAAACTTCTATTCACGTTATATTATTTATATTCAGAAATGTTCCGATGTCGTCAAGAATAAGGAAACAGTCAACTACTGAGAAGGTAGCGTTTACGCCATTAGAGAAACTCTTATTGCAAGGATTGGTGGACAAAAAATTGTACAGTTCCATTGAGGAAAATCAAAAATTTTCCAAGATTGAAAGTCACTTCTGCTTGTATCTCTGTGGCTAAAAAGGGTAGAAAGCTCAAATTCTAGTATAGAGTAGATCTAGAATATGTTCTGTGAATATCAGCGTATTCTACTGAACATCATGTAAGAAAAGAATATTATTTGAAGAGGATCACAACGTATTAGATACCCTTTATATATTATAGCATCCAACCTAGGATCAGACACTGAATTGACATTAACTCAGACCATTCTTTACCTGACCAGTTACAAGATGGTCAATCTCGATTCAGAGATTAAGTATATTGTATGGTATGTAGGGATATTCGTTCAGTTCAAAGAGAGTTTCAATGAAATGCAGGACTAAATCCGCACCATTTTATTAGTCTTTCATTTGTTAAGTTATATTCTTATAGTTAATATATTCAGGGAAATAATTGCCGATCGAAGCGACATTTTACTCATAATGATGACTCAGTAAGACTGGAAAAGTTCTAAAAGAATTTCTATCCGTAGATGTCTCTTATGGAATTATGATCGTTTTATCGAATTTTCGGCTTATTGCAACAGATCGATAGAGGAATCAGAAAAAAGGAATTTTCATCTGAATTTTTCTACATGAACACGAAAAACAATTCTATGACACAAAAAAACTGGTAAAGCCAACTGTTTTTCAGTGTTCAATATGTTGAGAAGAAACTCTCTTCTTTTTGAGTTTTCTATTAATAGCTTGCCATAAGCCGGAAGTCAGATAAAACGATCGTAACTCCATAAAGTACGTCTATAGAAAGAAATTCTTTCAGACTTTTCTAGTCTTACTGAGTCCTCCTTATGAGTAAAATATCGTTTCGAATGTCGATTAACAGTTTGATATGTTCCCTAGTTAGATTGAACGTATTGTAATTGATTAATCCGAGAATAGTCTGAACTAATGTCCAGCCAATGTCGAATCCCAAAGATTGGTCTAGGCAAATCTGAGATTGAACGCTAACGTATACTTATTTATTTGTATGTTTTCATCCACTGTAGAATGTTTTTTATTCTAGTATTTATGATTTAATTCAAACACAACGACGAGAAAGAATATAAATACATAAATGACAATGAGATGTATAATTTTGAGATATATATATATATTGATAGATAAGAAAAATAGATGGGAGACAATGAGAAAGAATTTCACTATTGCAAAGCCATAAACAGTTTTAAATGCGTTATATAAGAACTATTAGATAAATGTTTCGATGCAATAGACGATTGGTATGCTTCTAAACAGGAAATTGCTGACACAAATAAAGAAACATTTTACCATGGAAATAAACAAACAAAAACAACAAAAGGTATTAAATAAAGATCAGCACACCACTACAATTCAACAAGAACAAGACATCTGACACAATACAAAACGTTACAATTTTGTTTTGTTTTTCAGTTCAGTTGAGCAACATCTTCTTGGAGAAAATCTTTATTAATTAATTTCCATTCGACGATTATTAGTTACTGTATCTAAAATTACCATTTATTGACATCTATTTTTTTGTTTCGATTCATTTTATTTACCTCCTAAGAAAAGTATTTCTTTAGCCATATCTGAACCGATAATTAAACTACCATGAAATTGATTACTGTTTCCAGCATGAACATTCTATAATAGAAATATTTACAAATAGATAAGAAAAATATCGAATCAATAAAATAAATATACTTTAATATGATGGAGTACTGCTGATGAATAACTTGATGCAAATTTTTTACAAAATGGACAATTATAACGATGACGTTTACCAAGAATTTCTTTATAAATTGTTGATACAGCTAAAAATCAGTAAAAGAAAACAATAATAAAAATTTTAATTTCAAATAAACATACGAATTTGTTTCAAATTTTTCATATCACCATCTGCTGATAATAATCGAGCTTGTTTCGAATGAATTAATGTATGTTGATTCTAGAAAATAAGAAAAAATATTTTATGATTTGTCAAATTTCCTATTGCAAGCACAATCTTTATCACAATTGTAATTTTTTTTTGTATGTTAAACAGCTTGGTTCATTGATCAATGAGAGCAGAAGTATCAAAATTTACTATCAATCAAAAACGTTTTATGTGAAAGTCAGAAAAATTTAATTCATGAAGGAACTTTTCCCACTGATAACTTCTATTAGAACTCATATTTTACTGATTATATTAGAGTCCACTGTACAAATAAAATTTCTAAGATGATAAGTGCCACTAACATTTTCTTCTTCAGTTATGATTATTTTACTAAATTTTCAGTCTATTGCAACGTATCATGAGGAAATTGAATAAAGAAGTTTCAGTGAAAAAAAATAATCTGGACATAGACCATACAGTCCTTATAATATTCTGAAA